GAAAATACATTAATTTTTAGCTCTACTGGTCAGAGACCAGAAGAGCTTATGCGATAGTAATGCGTCCGGCGACCGTCCGTCTGTCTGTCTGTAAACAATTTTTCAAAATGCTACTCCTACTACAGTTTTGGCCAGATTTCAATATAACTTGGCACACAAGTAGACTACACTAAGATACATAATTCTGTTTATTATACTTCTGTTAAAATGTTTCCTATATAAAGTTCAGAAGGTAAAATAGCTATCTTTTATAGTTCACGCATAGCAAAGCTGTGAAATTCTTTCAAAATGCTACTCCTCCTACAGTTTTGGTCTGATTTCAATATAACTTGGCACGCAAGTAGACTATACTTAGATACATAATTCTGTTTATTATACTTCTGTTAAAATGTTTCCTATATAAAGTTCAGAAGGTTAGCTATCTTTTATAGTTCACGCATAGCAAAGCTATACCTATAGTTTTTGCTATCCACCTACATGTTTTTGCCTCCAATTTTGATTTCCATATTCATAATGACTTAAGTAGCAACGCCATCATGTTTTCAGATTATTCTTGCAGTATTATCTTACTCCTAAAAAATTCAAACCTCAGAAATTATAATTATACATCAGTATGATAAAACGCTTATCCACTGGGTGTGAGTGGGATAGCTCTTTTATCAAACCCTTGACAGAGACTATTCCCCTCGGGCAAGCCCTGTTAGTTCTCTGTCGCGTGTTTGATAAAAGAGCTACTACAAAATAGATTTCGAATTTGGTTACTAAAAATAGTTTCTGTGAAATTCTTTCAAAATGCTACTCCTCCTACAGTTTTGGTCTGCTTTCAATATAACTTGGCACACAAGTAGACTACACTAAGATACATAATTCTCTGTATCAGTTTTTGATTTCGATGAACGGTGTTGCTGTGGTTACTAAAAATAGAAATTTCTGTAAAATTCTTTCAAAATGCTACTTTTCCTACAGTTTAGGTCTTATTTCAATATAACTTGGCACAAGTAGACTACATTAAGGTACATAATTCTTTGTGTCAGTTTTTCACTTTAATGAACGGTGTTGCCATGGTTACTAAAAATAGAAATTTCTGTTAAATACTCTCAAAATGCTACTCCAAATACAATTTTAGTCTGATTATAATATAATGTGGCATGCAAGTAGACTACACTAAGAACATAAAGAGACTTAATCAAGGATCATTATTCTATTTATTGCTGTTGTAAAGTTTCATTTCCCAACTGCTTAAGTACTTTTCTCTTCCTTTAGTATAAGTACAAACCAGTAGAGCTTCAGTCTCGACAGAGACTTCTGGTTTGAAAATATTCTTCTCTGCTCCTGTAGTTTATAAACTAACCAATATATAGTCATATTGAATAAGACTGCATCTTCCATAATTGTAAATTTTATGGCCTCAGGGTTATGAAATTCTTTTTATTTATTTTGAAACTTTACAACATGCAGCATTAAACAGAATTATGTGTATGTATCTTTGTGTAGTCTACTTGTGTGCCAAGATATATTGAAATCAGACCAAAACTGTAGGAGAGTAGCGTTTTGAAAGAATTTCACAGAAATTTCTGTTTTTAGTAACCATGACAACACTGTTCATCGAAATCAAAAACCGATGCACTAGAATATGTATCTTAGTGTAGTCTACTAGTCTACTTGTGTGCCAAGTTACATTGTATATTGAAATCAGACCAAAACTTTAGCATCCTCAACTTTAGGAGGATTAGCTTTTTGAAAAATTGTTTACAGTTAGACATACAGATAGACAGACAGAGGGACGGATGACGGACACCTTACTATCGCATAAGCTCGTAGAGCTAAAAATCATGACCCCTGGGGGTAGGGAATCCAAGTTTTACATTGAAAAATAGAGGGAAAATCTTTAGATATCTTCTTATCAAGAACCACTTGGCTAGAAAAGCTGAAACTTATGTGGAAGCATCCAGGGGTAGTATAGATTCTAAATTGTTCAAATCATGACCGCCGGGGGTTGGGCGGGGCCACAATAGGGAATCCAAGTTTTATATTGAAATATAGAGGGAAAATATTTAGAAATCTTCTTCTCAAGAACCACTTGGCCAGAAAAGCTGAAACTTATGTGGAAGCATCCTGTGGTAGTGTAGATTGTTAAAATAATGAGGGGGCAGGGGGTACCGTATGGTGGGACCAGAATAGGTATTAAAAGGGGGAGAAATATGGTAAAGAACGGCATCACCAAAATTACTCAGGTGAGCTATGTGGCCCATGGACCTCTTGTTCTTAAGAAAAGCAAAGGCATGATTGGTCATATTTTAATGGAAGCATCCTCAGGTGTAGATTCAAGTTTGTTCAAGTCATAACCCTAGAAGGTAGGGTGGAGCCACGATGGGGGATCAAAATTTTACACAGGAGTATTTGATAGAAAAAAATCTTTTTCTCAAGAACAGAAAAGCCTTGATTAGACATACTGATATGGAGCTATCCTCAGGTAGTGTAGAATTAATTCAAATGAACCTCCCCTCCCCGGGGTAGGACTGGGCTACTATCTTCTGCTCAAGAACAGCACAGACATTTGTTATATCGATATGGGAGCATCATCAGGTAGTTTAATATTCAATTCCCCTCCCCTGTAAAGTTTTCAATACTGAACTGATTTTTGCTTTTTTCCCTAGCCAATGTGCTCAGGTGAGCAATATGGCCCATTGCCTCTTGTTTAAAAGTTTCATGCTCAAGAACCACTGAACCAGGTAAAATGCAACATATTCACATGGATTCTTAAGTAGTGTAGACTCATATTTGTTAAAATTATAACCCTCAGGGTTAGGGTGGGACCACAATGGACTATTAAAGTTTTACATAGCAACAGCAAAAATATCCAGAACCAATGGGCCAAGAAAGATGAAACGTGGAATCATCCTTAGGTAATGTAGACTCGAGTTTGTTAAAAATCATAAGCCCCAGGGTTTGTTTGGTCAACTATGAGTGATCAAAGTTTTACATAGGAATGCATAGTTTTAAAAAAATCAAAGTTAATCATATTATAAAGGGAAAATTGTCAAGTCTCCATTATTTTTGTATAAAAAGCGAATTGGAATATCAGCAATGCATTTTCTAATTGCAAATTGATCAACAAATATATTTTAGGTTAAAAACGATAGGTATCCTGGCATTCAGAGAAATTGTCATTATTTTTATACTTATTTGGTATTTTTTGTCTTCTATTTTTGTCATGTTTTCTATAAAACATAGTGTAAAAGGCTTTTGCTTTTATTGCAAGACACCACAAATCACTTATTTCATATCATGCTAATAAGCATTGGTATCTAAGGCTGGATTCATGAAAATCTTATTTCTTTAAAACTGTATTATTTTTTTTTTCTTTTATAGGGTACAAATGTCAACTTTTGTAAGACCTTTTCTAAGACTTACAAAAACTTTCAGTCTTATAAAGATAAATAAAATGAAAATTGTTGTATGAAAAAATTTCATTTTCAAGGTTCATTTTAATGCATTTTAAATTAAATATTAATTTTTGGAGTTATCCTTCCTGGCTGAGGATCGAATATCCTTAAGTAGTGTTAATTCAAGTTTGTTCAAATCATGACCACTGGGGGTAGGGCGGGACCACAATGGGAATATCTTGGAAAAATATTCTACTCCAAAGCCACTGGGCCAAGAAAGTTGAAACTTATGTGGAAACATTTTCAGTGAGTGTAGACCGAAATTTTTAGAGTGTACAACAATGAATCGAACTGGGGATGAAATGTAAAATGTGAATATATCGAGTACAGACACCTGACGAATGGTACACCCGCCTCCACCCCATTTCCAGCTACTATGAATTTTTATTAGACACAAAAACTTATCAAAAATACATGATTTCCTAGTTTATCTTTATATTTCGATATCTGATATCATTTTCCGCTTTTGTTAAGATTTAGATATTGGCCTTATACTGTATATACCGTATAGGGTAATTTGAGAAGGGCAGGCGGGGCCATAGTTGTGGTAAAAAAAATTAATTGCCAAAGCTTCTTGATGAATCGCCCGTGAATTAACGTCACACACACACCCTCACACACACACAGTATCTATGAATTTACGACCTTGACCTTTTGACCCCAAAATATGGGTCTTCCTTAGGCCACGGGGAGTTAAAATTTCACTGCAAAAGTTTAAAGGCTTCTAGAGATAGTAATAAAACACAGAATTTATGGTCTTGACCTTTAACGTCAAAATCTTCGGAGTTTGTAAAGTTTCATTTCAAAAGCTAACGCACTTCATCAAATATGCCTAGTATTGCCTACGTGACAAGTCTGTGTGATTTACACACCAATAACTCAAGAACATTCCTAGAATAATATATTGATATTCATGATAGGCTGTGTACGTATATTATTTTTTTTCAACATGTAAAAAAATACTTATAGTTATTTTTATGTACCTTTATGCGCAGAAATGTAGAAGAAGAAATTATGTTCATATGAAAATTGCAGTAGAATGGCTGAATTTTGTATCAAATTGCGTTCTTTTTTACCCGGCATAAAATTTTATTTTCCGCTGAAAGGTATTCTCTTTTTTTCATTTTTATTGATAATAAAATCGTTGAATTTAAAATATCTCAATACAGCTATTCTATATGCTGTTCAATAATCTGAATTAGTTCTTGAATAACTTTGGATTTTCATCTATTGATTTGTATGACACAAAACTATAAAGACAGGATCAAGTGCGACTTCATATCTTGATGATAAAAGAAGCATTTGTTTACTTCTTGTTTCGCGAAAGTACCGTTATCTTATCTTAAATTCCTTCAATTCATTTAAACTGTTAATATTTGTTCACTCGATACTTATTTATATCGATAAAGTTACCTTTCATGATCTGCCCAAAATCTTGGGAACGTGCAATTCACAATATAATGTAGAAAAGATACCCTGGTACATGAATAAAAAGAATAAAAAAAGAAAACATACATTAATTGTGACGTCACAATTCAAAACGCAGCGTTGACGACGCTAAAATACATTGATAACAACTAGAAACGCGTAGTTACTGTGAATGATGTTAGAAAGAACCCACAAGGATTATGACTTACATCCGACATGTTATCCATACTCGTCACACAAATGGTAAGTTTCTATTAGATATATTTTCTTTTCAGAGTGTGTATATCTAAAGAGAGTGTGGTCTACTGGGTTGAGAAAATATTCTGAAACCCTACAACCCCCCCCCCCCCCCCCCCCCCCCCCCCCCCAAAAAAAAAAGCAAAAACCAAAGATTTCGGATCGCAGGGAAAAGTAACTGCGACATGATTTAAAGTAAAGCGGAGATAGGTGTATGCTTCAGAATGCCCATAGCTCATGATATATAGCTATAGAAAAAAATATTCAAACTGTGATAACGTCAGTTTAATTTACCTCTGAGACTTACTCGCTGCAGAACTAGCTCTTCAAAAAAAAAATATATCGAAAGATCGAACATCCATTCAGTTTTTTCAGACAGTGAGCTACAGGATCAGCTGCTAGAAAGTAACACGCTAACTACTACGCTGTCCAACTCGTGAAGAAATGTTTGTGACATGGACATTAACTAAATTGACTTAAGTACATGTATTTCTCGGATAAATACTAATGTTAATGTCATAAAAGTATATTTTTACGACAAAATAGGTTTATGCTTCATTTTTTGTAACCCAAAAAATCTGTGTATTTGTCCGCAAACTTTTAAAATGAACTTTCCAAGAAATTTTTCCTCATTTTACTAAATATGAAGTTTATAAAGTAAATATTTACCTTTTGTATAAGAGATATTAGGCCTTTATACAAGAGAAGATTGTAAAATGATAAGAATCAACTTCAATTCATGGTGTCAAGTTCACTGTACGAGGGTTGTCCAAAAAGTTCGTGGACAATGACGTTTTTGTGAAAATAAATGGTTCTATATAAATCTGTTATATATCAAAATATTTCTTATGAAAAAACAAATCAAAATGATATGATTTTTATTGATGGAACGTAATATATATCTGTAAAAATCGGGGTCTTTAAAGGTTGCAGATAGTGCGCGCAGATCAAGGTTAAAATGCCATAAAATCTGATATAAAGCGTTTGAATTAAAATGATTATTATGTTCCCCAAACGAAGTTGGGGAACATATTGTTTTTACTCTGTTTCTTATTAAAAAGACCTTATTGTTATTCGTCTGTTTTTTATTATTATTATTATTATTATTTTTCTTTTTTTCAAGTTAGAGCGATATCTCAGCTGTGCGTGGACGGATCTAAAAGATTTTTACAGGGATGATGCATCATGAGAATATCTCCAGACGTGTTTTTCTTTTTTTCGAAATTCACCTCCGTTCGCGATTTTGGGGGATTTTTGTTTTTTTTAAAAGGCAATTTGTCCAGCAGTTTTCTCGAGAACAGCTGAAGATATGAAAGTGAAACTCACTGAGGTAATAGAACATCAAACTCCAATCTGAACGACGACCTTTATTTTTCGTCGTCGGCACTTCCGGTCGCAAACGGAAGTGAATTCAAAAAGTCCAATTTTTCAACTTTTTTGTTTTTAAATATTTTTCTTTAGGATTTTCAGGGTTTATAGTGTGTCTAATGAGAATTTTAAATATGTGTTCCGTGTCTTGATGCGTGCATATATTGAAAAGATATGACCGAACCAAACTTTGTCCCACTGTCGGGGGTTCGAAAAAATTTTTTCTTTGTTTCTGTCATTTTTCAATTGCAAATGCCTTTTCTCACTTTTATAACATGTATAAAATATTTTGCCGATTTTTAAAAGCTATATTTAAAGATATTTTGAGGTTTACCTGTAATAATCATGATATATGTTGAGAGACTGCTGTAAATGAACGTAAACAAAAAAAATTCTGAAATGAGATGAGGCAGCTTAAAATCGGTCGGAAGACATCTAATTAATTTTTCTTCTTCTTCTTCTTCCTGGGTATATGAAAACTTAGGTAAAACCTTTTTAGGGTCAGTAGACATGTAATGTAGATTTGCGGAATCAAGGTCATTTTGCGCGCACGTGCTTGCAAGAGCGCGCACGTGCAATACGTGAAATGACCAATATAATAGATATAGCCGTAACTTTTCTATTTTTTGATGAAATGCTTTGAATTCCATTATGAAAGGATATATTAGTAGTGTAGACATGACGACATGGTCTTTATAGCAAGATCTCACGCGCATGCACGTGCGCTTCTCTCTGATGAAACTAAAGACATAAAATCCTTTGAAATTTTGAACATAGTCATACGTTATGAAGATCTACAGCATGAATATAAGAATTATCATAAAATCATGCGCATGCACATGTGCTGTAATCTGATTGGCTGAAACTTTAAATGCCTATAACTTTTTTGGTTCTCAACAAAACGGAATGAAATTTAGAATATGAATAGGTATGATGGATTACTACATTATGCTACTATCAAAATGGAATGCAAGGACACGCATGCATGCACGTGCACGCGCACAATATGCAAAATGACCAATATATTTGAAAAACGGTAACATTTATATTTCTTATGATTTGTCTAATTGATTCTCACGACACAAAGAAATGTTAATGGTTAAGACAACCTGTTATGATCATCTTGCATGTGCATGCACGTGCGTGCGCGTGCAATGAGTTAAATAAAATATAGTTGATATCATTGTAGCTTTAATAATTCTTATATGAAATTCTTTGATACTGAGTATATTTTAAAAATGTCTTACAGGAAAATGGCACAAAAAGAGTTTTGGGGAGCGTTTGGGGAACATCTGTAACGGTCCCCGTTACAATTAAAACTAGTTTTCTATATGAAACAAGTCAAAACTTAATGAAAATTATATGTAACAAAATAAAGAGGCTATCATCGTTTTCTGATATCTAGAGTATCGCTTACTATATAGACATTGAAAATACCAAACAAAGACTGTAACAAATATGTAGTGTGTATGTGTCAAAACTCGACGAAAAAATCGACGTCGGACGTTCGAACGGGGCAGCGTCCAATCAAAAAATATGTTTTTATACGAAAAAAAAACGAAGTAAGAGACAGACTTTTTTGATAAAACAACTTAAAATTATTGAAAAATATTTAGTTTATTGATTTGAAATTGGTACATACGATTTTTCAACGTTGTGTGCAAATTCAAAGACACTCAAAGAAAATATAAACACGTGTAATTTGCTGAAAATGGAGATTTCTATTCATGACGTTGTTATAAATCTAGCGCAGCGTCGGACTCATCGTCTCAAGCCACGGTCCGGAGTTCGCATATATAGCTCTCTCCTAGGAGAGGAGCGTACATTTTGGCCGTGGTTTGCGACGATGCGTCGGACCAGGCTGTGCAGTTTGTGTATACAAACTGTTTATGTTGATGACGCTCGTAATTTTTTGTGAATTATTTTGAATTTTAAAAATTAAATGAATTATAATTTATACGTAAAGATTTTTGATAGCACTTGGAAGTGTGTCGCCATAAAAAAAAAAGTAGTGTGTGTCCATGAACATGTGTTATAATTCAAAATCCAAATGCTGACGTTATAATGAAATTAGCTTGACGTCAGACTGGTCCATGCGCACTATCCGCGACCTTTGAAGACCCAAATTTTTAACAAAAATATTAAGTTCCATCAATAAAAACTAAATCATTCTGACTTGCTTTTTCATAAGAAATATTTTGATATACAATAGATACATATAAAATCATATATTTTAACAAAAACGTCATAGTCCTCGAACTTTTTGGACAACCCTCGTATATGTATATATAAAAGCAAATAAAAAAATGTTTTATCCTGCCGGTCTCCCATAGTTGCTGCAGGAGTTTGACCAAAATAGTCAAATATATGTAATGGAGTAACTAACAACACCCCCCCCCCCCCCACACACACACACACACAATAGGTTTTTCAGTCTCAAAATAATTTTGTGTTGGCTTGGTCGAGAAAAATTATACCTGAGGTGAAAAGCACCGGCTGTATTTCATTTCCGGAATTTTAGGTAATTATCAACTTTTCATTTCCGACATTTTTTAGTTTTCATTTCGGACATTTTTTTGTTTTCATTTCCGACATTTTTCAAATACATATGTAGTGCCTATATTAACAAATTTGATAACTTTACTTATGAAAAATTTGAAGGATTAAATCATAAATAAATATATAATTGAAATCCAATTTTGTAAATCTATTAGTGACTTGGACATAAGTATGGTGCTGTCACTGACATATAATTAAGTGCACATTAAATGTGGTGAAAAAATTTTATGCTCATTGAACACTTTCACCTAGACAAAGTGCTACATGTATGCATATATATATGTATAGATGTTTTTTATTAATATTTTGGTATAAATACTTTTAAAATTCCATTTTCTTTTACTTAGAAACCATAGAATTGCCGCACAGGTAAATTCCGGAAATGAAAAGAAAATTATGTCGGAAATGAAAATAAAAAATGTCGGAAATGAAATAAAAAAAATATCGGAAATGCTATGCATATTTCCGGAAATGAAATGCAGCGGAAAGCACCTCCCATCCCATGGACAAATTCTTGGATTCGCGCCTGTTAGAGCATCAAAAGATAGTAGAGGGACGGTTTTTAAACATATGTTACAGTTGTCACAATCTTTACAGGAAAAAGTGGAATCTGTATACTATTATCCACGGAGCGTGATTCTCTTAAACATGCAATTATGTTGAATTTGCAGTTATCCTCTGCATCTGTTTTCATTCAAAACTTACAAACACAGTTTCAAAGTGTTCGTATATCTTGTAGATATTTAATTCATTGTACAACGTATAAGTATATAACCGAACAGAATAATTAAAATTTAATTCGTTGTGATTAAGAGAAGTAGTACGAGTATTAAATAATACTTAAGCTAGAACTGCACATGTTTAATTACCCGTATTTGACCTCTCGGAACCTGATATTTAACAGGATTGAGACATTACATTCACAACACCTTGAGGAGAACACTAAATCCGTAACTACTGCCAGACTGAAATGTTAAAGTGACTTTTTAATGCCATAACTACGATTTTTTTCTAATGGATGTGATCTGTCTTCCTTTTGAGAAAATATATAGTTGTCGTTGATCAATTTTTTTCAATATGGTCAGCATTCCAGAAATTCCGCAACCAAAACGGCAAGTATTCTCTCAATGTTATTCAAACCCCCCGATCAGCTAATACAAAGGCAATCCTAAATTATAATCATCATCAGTCGTTTGTAGTATTCATTGCCTGCCTATGTCCATGTGATTGCGTTTCATTAGAGAGACAGGCAGACACCTGGACAGACGGACGGACGGACAAATGCATGAAGGAAGTCGTTTAAGTTGGTTTTAAATTATCACGGAAATAGATTTCAAGACTATTATAAAACTGGATAAGAACTCTATATATCTTCCGTCTTTCATTAAAGAAAACAAGTTTGAAAAATATAGACATACTCATTTAACTGGCGATATTGAGAAGGGGGTATAAATGATGCTCATAATAATTTATACAAGTTTTAGATAAAAGATATTGAATTAAGATTTAAATGTTGTTTTTTTTCATTTGACATTTGTAAGGGTAAGTCAATGAATCTGACACAGAAATCACTCATTCAATTTGTTTCGGTCTTCTTTAAATATATAGATCTATCTACTGATTATAATAAAATTGAGAAGACATACGTTTGTACATGGTGGCGAGAGGTGTCGTCACACACGATGAAATAGGGAATTTTAGGGATGGGTTGAGTTGTTGGACTCTTATAAATAAAATCCAAATTGATAATCTCAAATCACAGCTCAATGACTATCAATTAAATTTGACTTACCAGAAAATAACTGATATAAAATTGCGCATAATATGATTATTGATATTAAAATGTGTTTTAGGAAGGGTTGTGACAAGCCTCCCCCAACCAGAATTCGTGAATCCGCTTATAAAAATCATTCGTCTTTAAAAAATATTTGTTGATTTTACTTCCTTAACAATCCAAGAAATATTGTTCATTTAGGTCTGGGAATACAAAATTTCATATTGAGACTATAGATAAGAATTCATAAATTGTAATACTGAATTGAAGTCATCCAAATGTCTTGAAATTTGATATGATTTTCATGTAATAAATGTAAAATTAACGAGTATAGCAAAAATTGAAAATTTCCAGATATTACAATCGAGAGAGTTGGCTCACTTATTTAATACTATACCCTTTGGTATCTATTTTTCAGGCATGTAATATTTGTTCGTTTATTTTATTATATTATCCATACATATCTTCTCTCCACTGCTTTGTCAGTAAGGAGAAAAAAAGTTCATTCAAATTCAATTCTTATTTTGGCACAAAAGCATATATATTACATAATCCTGCCAGGAAGTGACTTAACAATCCTTCATATACTCTATATTTATTGTCCCCCGCTTTTGCGAAAACGAGGGGACATTAAATCTCATTCGCCTATCCGTCTGTCCGTCCGTCACAAAAACTTTAACCTTGCCCATAACTTCTGATTGAAAGGAGCTGTGGCTTTCATATTTCACTTGTGTATTCCTTGTGACAAGACCTTTCTTTGGGTACCACCAAATTTGACCTTTTGACATTGGCCTTGGAGTTTGTCCCACTTTTACACAAACATTCTTAACTTTTACTTTAGCCATAACTTTTGAACGGTAGAAACTAAGGCTTTTATATTTCACACATTTATTCTTTGTGGCAAGGCCTTTTATTGGATACCAACAAGTTTTACCTTTTTACCTTGACCTAGGAGATATCTACTTATGACAAAACTTTAACCTTGGCCGTAATCTTTGAACGGTAAGGGTTAGGGCTTTCTTACTTTACATATGTACATGTAATCCTTATGAAAAGACCTTTCATTGGATATCAAGAACATTGACATATGTACATGTAATCCTTATGAAAAGACCTTTCATTGGATATCAAGAACATTGACCCTTTGACCTTGACCTTGGAGTTTGGTCTACTTTTTAAAAACTATGACAATGGCCATAACTTTTGAACAGTAAATTTTAGGACTTTCATATTTCACATATGTGTTCTTTGTGGCAAGAACTTTCATTTGATACAAACAACATTGAACTTTTGACCTTGACCTTGGAGATTTCCGTACTTATGAAAAAACTTTAACCTTGGCCATAACTTTTGAACGGTAAGGGATAGGGCTTTCATACTTGACATATTTAATCCTTGTGACAGGACCTTTCATTGGATATCAAGAACTTTGACCTTGAACTTGGAGTTTGACCTACTCTTTAAAAACTTAAACCTTGGTCATAACATTTGAACGGTTAGGGCTAGGGCTTTTATTCTTCACATATGTAATACTTGTGAGAAGACCTTTCTTCATAAACCAACTACCTTGACCCTTTAACCTTGGAGTTTGACGTACATTTCAAAAACTTATCCCTGGCCATAACCTTTTGAACAGATGGTGTTAGGCCTTTTATAACAATCGTATTTCTTGTGAGAAGACCCTACTTTGGGTTATAATGTATTCAAATTGCATTTAAGAAAAGTTTAATCTTAACTTTGTTGCCATACGGGTCATCAGTGTTTCACAAACACATCTTGTTCCTTATATTGAGAAGAGATAGGACTTTTATATTTGACATGTGCATTACTTGTGACAAGATATTTCCGAGGATGCTATGATTTCTGATCCCTTGACTTGACCTTCACGACTGACCTTATTTAAAAAAAAATCAACTTCAGCGATAATTTTTAAATGATATTTGATAGGGCGTTCATTTTGACACAATATGTCGTAAAACAAATGAAATCTCACCCACAAAGACACCGAAAGCGAAAGACCACAGTTCTTTGAATTTGCTTGTTAAGACGGGTTTATATTGGAGTAGGCTGTTTAAACCGATAAAAAAGTGTTACACATAATCCTCTATAATTGTTGCAATTTCCTGGATCAAATTTTATTTATTGAGAGGTTCCATAATTCTGGCATTCTGCTAGTCTGAAGAATTTTGATAAAAGTTATACCAGTCTACACAGAAAAACACCAGCAGTTATTTTATTAAATTCATTTGGAATTACGACTCAAACCAGAACATACATTTTCAACATTCCAAGCTTGACATTCTTACTTGTACTTATATATATTTATAATTATATAGATCTCTAGCGGTGTAAATGGAAAAAAAAATCTATAGTTAATTTTTTTTAGTGCAACAAGGGTTTATTTCATTAAAGTCAAACGAGACGTTCCTCAATATCTGTTTTGTATATCTTCATATAAATGTATGAAAAATATTCAATATTTTAATTACATTCAGATTTCTAAACCAGTTTCTAAACGTTTTTTTAAAAATCCGAACACTTAAACATTTGAAATTGGAAAATTATTTTTCTTCCCAAAAGGATTATATAAGAAAAACTACCCCTGGTATCTTTCAGAAATGCCTGGTAAGGTACCTCATTTTTTTGTGAGTAAACATGTTTAAGTAGCAATAATAAACTCTTGGAAAATTTTGTATATTATTAAGGAACGTCTCGTCTGTACTTAATAGTTACAATTAATTTTTTTTTTCTAGGGTTGATGAACTCATTACTGCTTCTACAGAGTTAGCGAAAAAACTCAAAAAGAAAAACAAAGAAGAGAGGTTGCCATGTTTGAATTTAGGAGCAACCGGCGATAAGCAAGATAAGTAGGTTTAATTTCTCAATCAGATTTATACACATCTGCACTGCACTTTAGCTTTCGAGCTAAAAGCTTTTTCATCAGTAAAATAGAATAAATTATATACCTTAGTATGTAATATTGTTTTTTATCCTGCAACTACCCCTTGCATTGACCTAATAAAGGTAACCTAATATTTAAAACCAAAGCTTTATCCGGTCACTGCCCTAATAAAGCCTCGTGCATGTATTCCGACGTTCTAAAAGCATTGTGACGTCATATATACTGCAATGTTTATGGCGTCATAGTTTTCAACTGCAGAGATGTGCCTAAATCTGTCGAAAATAGCTTGTTTTGGACGTTCAAATGTAAAATTTGGTTGCAGGATAAACAAAATACATGATAACTGTCTTAAAATATAAGCGGCAAGCCTCGCCCTCTATCACGTTTTCTTACCCTCGCCCAAATATCGCTTATATATTTCAAGATAGTAACCATGTATTTTATATATCTTTTTCATGTTTTTCAGTTTTCCTTAAGACAATGTGAATATGAATTAATAAAATTATATTTTCACAGTGTGAAAAACACCCGACTTTGAATTTCTCCATTATTAATTTCCCATAAGAAATTGACTCTATGCTGGCTTTGTGTTCATAATAAGATTTTTTTTTAAATTCCGTTGTCCTGTTCTTTCCGTCTTTCATTTGTTCATTTCTTGTTCATGTCAATAACTCTACACATTGTATTTGCAGCTCTGATATCAAACAATTATGTACTTATCAATGAAAAATAATTCGAACAATATCATTGTTTTCACATTGTGTTAAAGCCAACACATTTCTTTGATTTTGAAACTAGAAAAAAAAATCTTGTCAACTCCATTTGACAAATTTCTTGTGTACATAAAAGCACCGAAAGCTATTTACCGAGGTTTACCTTACAAAGATTACTTTGAATCTAGAAAGTTAAGGTTGTGTAAATTTAAAGTATCAATCTAAAATCAAGGGAAAAGCACACATGTATATTGTTCCATTGAATGGTTGATAGCCTTTTGTACTAACGTTTTCTTATATTACAACATACTCGTTAACAGATTTGATTTTAAAATCCCTACTGGTCGTTTCCATTCTCAACAAGTAATGTGAGCTTCTTTGGAGATTTCTTAATATAACATGTATAAGTTGATGTAAATATAACACCTAATCAACTCAGAATACTGGACAGTATTTAGATTCACACTGTAGTGTATTAACATGGAATACTTGCCAAAAACTCCTTCTCTGTGGCCAGTATCAGAAAAACCACGATATCTTCGGTAATGTATCACCTAGGACGGTTCAAATTCTTTTGATTTTTAGACGTGATTTTTTTAATTTTTATAACTGTTTTATTTCACGATTTTTTTCTAATGGTATATGATACAATAAAAATAAGTCTAAAAAGTACAAGGTTGAACCAGTGCAAAATTATATATCAGTAATTATTATCTGAACATCGTAATCGAATAAATCTGATTGGGTTGGTTTGTGTTACGTGTTTAATTATAGTTTACCGATATTGACTAATGTTACCAAGGGAAAAAATAAACTAAATGAATTAAACAAAATAAGATCAATTCGGGAAAAATCCAAGCCTGACATTCAAAGTGGACATTAAAAAGCACAAATTCTTTATAGTCGCTGTTTGTCTCTTATTTGTCCCATAAAAAATAATATAACATGTCAAATGTGATTGACCAATCAATATTTATATCAACTTCACAAAAAGCATATCAACCTTGCACTTCATGCTCGATCGGTATGTTCATGTATATGGTTTGCCATCGTGAAAGGACAATACATGTATTTGTACATTTGAAGACAACACTTGGCACAGTGAGCTAAACCTGTATATGGATAATATGTTTTGTATATAAAAAACATTTATTGAATGAGCTCTGGGGCAAAATGGGTTTTGTCGACCCTCGAACCGAACTGTCTGCCTTCGGCCTAACGGCCTCAGGCAAACAGTTTGGTTCTTGGGTCCGACAAAACGCATGTTGCCCCCGAACTCAGTCGATAATGAATTAGGGAATAACTATCTTCTATTTTGGTATTTGCGACCGTTAATGCTGATTTAACGGTCGCAAACTGAGTTTTACCGGCGACGCGTAAGCGGAGCCGGTGAAACGGATGTTTGCGACCGTTAAATCAGCATTAACGGTCGCAAATACCAAAATAGAAGCAATCTATGCATTCTGTTTGTAGTTTATGTCTTATTTTGTTGAGTTTTGTGACATGAAATACGTCACGGAGCATTGTGTTTTTGCGTCGCTCTATTATGACGTCACAGTGAAAAGCTTTCACTCCCGTTAATGCTCGTTTTACTGCTTCAAACAAAGCACATTAGCCAGTCAAAATGAGTTTTACAAACCATTTGCATTAGAATGTATTTTATTCCCTTCTTTTACGGAATTTGGTGTGTACTCTATTTCAAAAAATGGACACGAGAAGTCATGACCTCCGCGATATACTGTGCAAACCTGTTGCTAGCTGTTGTCCCACAGATACATGTAGTTTAAGAAATAATCAATATACCCCTACCCCTTTTTAAATGACTACAGATACACTGTTTGGAGGAAATTTGATATGAACCATTTGTGAATCCTAAGATATAACGCTCATAAATATCTATGACTGTTTTACAGAAAGAGGTGCTCAAAAATTTCAACATGGAACACGGAGAACCGCTTTCGCTTCAAAGTTTTAGACATGTCGCAACGGCCTATTGAAAGACCGCCATTTATAGTTACAACTCTGGATTCTAGGAAACACAATCCTCAATCTAAACAGATATTTCATATACACAGAATAAACGCTAAGGTACTGAATTGTACTCACACATGCATGTTAGTGTAGGTAAGAAAGTTAACTGTAATCATTGGTCAGGATAACTGTAATATCAGGTCACTGTAGGATGTTAACTTAACTGTAAACAAAGATTAGTGTAATCACAGGTCAGTATAAGTAAGGATGATTACTTTAACTATAATCACAGGTCAGTGTAGGTAAGGATGATTAATTTAACTATAATCACAGGTCAGTGTAGGTTAGGATGATCAATTAACTGTAATCACAGGTCAGTGTAGGTAAGGATGATTAATTTAACTATAATCACAGGTCAGTGTAGGTAAGGATGATTACTTTAACTGTAATCAAAGGTCAGTGTAGGTAGGATGATTACTTAACTGTAATCACAGGTCAGTGTAGGTAAGGATGATTACTTAACTATAATCACAGGTCAGTGAAGGTAAGGATGATTACTTAACTTAATCACAGGTCAGTGTAGGTAAGGATGATTAATTTAACTATAATCACAGGTCAGTGTAGGTTAGGATGATCAATTAACTGTAATCACAGGTCAGTGTAGGTAAGGATGATTAATTTAACTATAATCACAGGTAAGTGTAGGTAAGGATGATTACTTTAACTATAATCACAGGTCAGTGTAGGTAGGATGATTACTTAACTGTAATCACAGGTCAGTGTAGGTAAGGATGATTACTTAACTATAATCACAGGTCAGTGAAGGTAAGGATGATTACTTAACTTAATCACAGGTCAGTGTAGGTTAGGATAATTACTTAACTGTAGTCACAGGTCAGTGTAGGTAAGATGATTAATTAACTGTAATCACAGGTTAGTGTAGGTAAGGATGATTACTTTACTATAATCACAGGTCAGAGTAGGTAAGGATGATTAATTTACTGTAATCACAGGTTAGTGTAGGTTAGGATGATTTCTTAACTGTAATCACAGGTTAGTGTAGGTAAGGATGATTACTTAACTATAATCACAGGTCAGTGTAGGTAAGGATGATTACTTAACTGTAATCACAGGTCAGTGTAGGTAAGGATGATTAATTAACTGTAATCACAGTTCAGTGTAGGTAAGGATGATTAATTAACTGTAATCACAGGTCAGTGTAGGTAAGGATGATTACTTTAATTACAATTACAGGTCAGTGTAGGTTAGGATAATTACTTAACTGTAGTCACAGGTCAGTGTAGGTAAGGATGATTAATTAACTGTAATCACAGGTTAGTGTAGGTAAGGATGATTAATTAACTGTAATCACAGGTTAGTGTAGGTAAGGATGATTAATTTACTGTAATCACAGGTTATTGTAGGTTAGGATGATTTCTTAACTGTAATCACAGGTCAGTGTAGGTAAGGATGATTTCTTAACTGTAATCACAGGTCAGTGTAGGTAAGGATGATAAATTAACTGTAATCACAGGTCAATGTAAGTAAGGATGATTAATTAACTGTAATCACAGGTCAGTGAAGGTAAGGATGATTAATTAACTGTAATCACAGGTCAGTGTAGGTAAGGATGATTACTTAACTGTAGTCACAGGTCAGTGTAGGTAAGGATGATTACTTAATTATAATCACAGGTCAGTGTAGGTAAGGATGATTAACTTACTGTAATCACAGGTCAGTGTAGGTAAGGATGATTACTTTAACTATAATCACAGGTCAGTGTAGGTAAGGATGATTACTTAACTATAATCACAGGTCAGTGTAGGTAAGGATGATTACTTAACTATAATCACAGGTCAGTGTAGGTAAGGATGATTACTTTAACTATAATCACAGGTCAGTGTAGGTAAGGATGATTACTTAACTATAATCACAGGTCAGTGAAGGTAAGGATGATTACTTAACTTAATCACAGGTCAGTGTAGGTTAGGATAATTACTTAACTGTAGTCACAGGTTAGTGTAGGTAAGGATGATTAATTTAACTATAATCACAGGTTAGTGTAGGTAAGGATGATTACTCAACTATAATCACAGGTCAGTGTAGGTAAGGATGATTACTTTAATTACAATTACAGGTGAGTGTAGGTTAGGATAATTACTTAACTGTAGTCACAGGTCAGTGTAGGTAAGGATGATTAATTAACTGTAATCACAGGTTAGTGTAGATAAGGATGATTACTTAACTGTAATCACAGGTTAGTGTAGGTAAGGATGATTAATTAACTGTAATCACAGGTCAGTGTAGGTAAGGATGATTAATTAACTGTAATCATAGGTCAGTGTAGGTAAGGATGATTGATTAACTGTAATCACAGGTCAGTGAAGGTAAGGATGATTAATTAACTGTAATCACAGGTCAGTATAGGTAAGGATGATTACTTAACTATAATCACAGGTCAGTGTAGGTAAGGATGATTACTTTAATTACAATTACAGGTCAGTGTAGGTAAGGATGATTACTTTAATTACAGTTACAGGTCAGTGTAGGTTAGGATACTTACTTAACTGTAGTCACAGGTCAGTGTAGGTAAGGATGATTAATTAACTGTAATCACAGAGTAGTGTAGGTAAGGATGATTACTTTAACTATAATCACAGGTCAGTGTAGGTAGGATGATTACTTTAACTGTAATCACAGGTCAGTGTAGGTAAGGATGATTACTTTAACTATAATCACAGGTCAGTGTAGGTAAGGATGATTAATTTAACTGTAATCACAGGTCAGTGTAGGTAGGATGATTACTTTAACTATAATCACAGGTCAGTGTAGGTAAGGATGATTAATTAAACTGTAATCACAGGTCAGTGTAGGTAAGGATGATTACTTTAACTATAATCACAGGTCAGTGTAGGTAAGGATGATTAATTAAACTGTAATCACAGGTCAGTGTAGGTAGGATGATTACTTTAACTATAATCACAGGTCAGTGTAGGTAAGGATGATTAATTAAACTGTAATCACAGGTCAGTGTAGGTTAGGATAATTGCTTAACTGTAATCACAGGTCAGTGTAGGTAGGATGATTACTTAACTGTAATCACAGGTCAGTGTAGGTAAGGATGAATGGATGATTAATTAAACTGTAATCACAGGTCAGTGTAGGTAAGGATGATTACTTTAACTATAATCACAGGTCAGTGTAGGTAGGATGATTACTTAACTGTAATCACAGGTCAGTGTAGGTAAGGATGATTAATTTAACTATAATCACAGTTCAGTGTAGGTAAGGATGATTACTTAATTATAATCACAGGTTAGTGTAGGTAAGGATGATTAACTTACTGTAATCACAGGTCAGTGTAGGTAAGGATGATTACTTTAACTATAATCACAGGTCAGTGTAGGTAAGGATGATTACTTAACTATAATCACAGGTCAGTGTAGGTAAGGATGATTACTTAACTATAATCACAGGTCAGTGTAGGTAAGGATGATTACTTAACTATAATCACAGGTCAGTGAAGGTAAGGATGATTACTTAACTTAATCACAGGTCAGTGTAGGTTAGGATAATTACTTAACTGTAGTCACAGGTTAGTGTAGGTAAAGATGATTAATTTAACTATAATCACAGGTCAGTGTAGGTAAGGATGATTACTCAACTATAATAACAGGTCAGTGTAGGTAAGGATGATTACTTTAATTACAATTACAGGTGAGTGCAGGTTAGGATAATTACTTAACTGTAGTCACAGGTTAGTGTAGGTAAGGATGATTTCTTAACTGTAATCACAGGTTAGTGTAGATTAGGATGATTAATTAACTGTAATCACAGGTCAGTGTAGGTAAGGATGATTGATTAACTGTAATCACAGGTCAGTGAAGGTAAGGATGATTAATTAACTGCAATCACAGGTCAGTGTAGGTAAGGATGATTACTTAACTATAATCACAGGTCAGTGTAGGTAAGGATGATTACTTTAATTACAATTACAGGTCAGTGTAGGTAAGGATGATTACTTTAATTACAATTACAGGTCAGTGTAGGTTAGGATACTTACTTAACTGTAGTCACAGGTCAGTGTAGGTAGGATGATTACTTTAACTGTAATCACAGGTCAGTGTAGGTAAGGATGATTACTTTAACTATAATCACAGGTCAGTGTAGGTAAGGATGATTAATTTAACTGTAATCACAGGTCAGTGTAGGTAGGATGATTACTTTAACTATAATCACAGGTCAGTGTAGGTAAGGATGATTAATTAAACTGTAATCACAGGTCAGTGTAGGTAAGGATGATTACTTTAACTATAATTTAACTATAATCACAGGTCAGTGTAGGTAAGGATGATTACTCAACTATAATAACAGGTCAGTGTAGGTAAGGATGATTACTTTAATTACAATTACAGGTGAGTGCAGGTTAGGATAATTACTTAACTGTAGTCACAGGTTAGTGTAGGTAAGGATGATTTCTTAACTGTAATCACAGGTTAGTGTAGATTAGGATGATTAATTAACTGTAATCACAGGTCAGTGTAGGTAAGGATGATTGATTAACTGTAATCACAGGTCAGTGAAGGTAAGGATGATTAATTAACTGCAATCACAGGTCAGTGTAGGTAAGGATGATTACTTAACTATAATCACAGGTCAGTGTAGGTAAGGATGATTACTTTAATTACAATTACAGGTCAGTGTAGGTAAGGATGATTACTTTAATTACAATTACAGGTCAGTGTAGGTTAGGATACTTACTTAACTGTAGTCACAGGTCAGTGTAGGTAGGATGATTACTTTAACTGTAATCACAGGTCAGTGTAGGTAAGGATGATTACTTTAACTATAATCACAGGTCAGTGTAGGTAAGGATGATTAATTTAACTGTAATCACAGGTCAGTGTAGGTAGGATGATTACTTTAACTATAATCACAGGTCAGTGTAGGTAAGGATGATTAATTAAACTGTAATCACAGGTCAGTGTAGGTAAGGAAGATTACTTTAACTATAATCACAGGTCAGTGTAGGTAAGGATGATTACTTAACTATAATCACAGGTCAGTGTAGGTAAGGATGATTACTTAACTGTAATCACAGGTCAGTGTAGGTAAGGATGATTAATTAAACTGTAATCACAGGTCAGTGTAGGTAGGATGATTACTTTAACTATAATCACAGGTCAGTGTAGGTAAGGATGATTAATTAAACTGTAATCACAGGTCAGTGTAGGTTAGGATAATTACTTAACTGTAATCAGAGGTCAGTGTAGGTAGGATGATTACTTAACTGTAATCACAGGTCAGTATAGGTAAGGATGATTAATTTAACTATAATCACAGTTCAGTGTAGGTAAGGATGATTACTTTAACTATAATCACAGTTCAGTGTAGGTAATGATGAATACTTTAACTGTAATCACAGGTCAGTGGAGGTAACGATGATTAATTTAACTATAATCACAGGTCAGTGTAGGTTAGGATGATTACTTTAACTAAGATTTATAGCAATTTTAAATCTTAATTTGTATAATAGAGATAAAAAAGTTAAATGTTTGATTACAATAATAAATCAACTGTAATCAAAGGTCAATATAAGTCAGAAAGCTTACTTACTGTTGTCACGGATCCGTGTAGGTAAGAATGATTATTTTAACTGTGATCATCGGTCAGCGCTGGCAAGAGAGCTTACTTAAAGGTAATCACAGGTCAGTGTAAGAAAGGTTGTGATCATCGGTCAGCGCTGGCAAGAGAGCTTACTTAAAGGTAATCAAAGGTCAGTGTAAGAAAGGTTGCTTACTTGAACAGTAATCACTTTTAAAAAAGTATGGATTTTGCTAGACTCATACTTATATATACTTATAAATATGCATGAAATATGGGGCTTACTAACAGTATTCAAGCTCAAAAGTCCATCAAACAATACAAATCAGGAGCAGAGCGAACATGAACCCCTAAAACATCAGGGGCATGACAAGGTGTCCACAGGGTACGAATTGCAGAGGGTTAGATGTTTTGACTTGTTCATCAGACAGCCCGCTTTGTTAGGACTACTCCCTGAAGCGCTGAAAAGAATTTCATGAAACTTTGTAGATGATGGGAAATGCTTTGTAGATTTGCATATTCATAAGGAATTCTGATTCATTCTTTTCTTAGTTATTCTCCCTTGTATTAATTCATCACCTTTAACTGATAAAAAACGTTTTTTTCGTTTCTAGAAACATTGTTGCTTTTCCACACTTTTGGTTCAATTCATGCCTGCTTATTACATCTACTATGATCGGAATTTTTATTTTTATAAGTCAGTATTTTTCGTAGGCTATGAAGGTTAATATATGGCAAACTAATGAATAATGTGAATACTTGTTACAGCCCGTTTGCAAGGTGCATACCTGGGTAGAAGATAAAATGGATGTAAATGAAGATGGCATAAAAACCACTTACAAATCGTCTTACAAGCTAAAACCCCCGTCCGCGGACAGACAACCTCCGATAAAGTCAAAAGACAAAGAAACAATGGCGCATGGCATTGGTGAGGGGTTCTTGCACATCTTTGTAATAAAACGTCAAATCCAGTGCAAATTTAAGACAGCTGCTTTGTAGCTTTTCTTCCACAAGATTTTCTAGAAAATTTAAATAATGAATTACATTAAAAATATTTTACAGTTTTTGCATACACACGGGTAAACCAGTACTTTACTCCTAATACATTTAAAGGCATATGTGAAAGTGTAGAACTGTAATTTTTTTTATACTTAGTAACCAACGTTAACTCGAATTTCATTTTTTTTCAAAGTTCCGTTTGATCAACCTGCTGATTCTTGCAATGTTAGAGAGGAGATGTTACTCCCTATCTGCGAAACTGTGAGTTTGTACACATATATTGCACTGAGAAAATATTTAAAATAATGCACAGATATCTAAGAAATGAAATATATGGAGATGAACAGTATTCAAGCTCAAAGGTTTATTATTAAAACAATACAAATCGGGACAGAGAAAACACGGACCTCTATAACATCACAAGTGGGGTTAGGTGCCATGGAGGAATGAGCATCTAGCTATTTCATAAAATGGACATTTTTTTTTTGTAGACCAACATTCCATCTGCACCCCATCCACACAAATACCTGCTAAGAAAGAAGAAAACACAACCTTGCTTCGATGGTAAGAATGATGCAGAAGTTTTCTTATAGATGTCTAATTATTCGTATACCCAGCCACATTTCTTCCTCTAGGACAAGATGTTGTTTGTCCTTTAAATGAAAGTATCACATACTAGTAACCGAAGCAATGCATGTATATACAGGGTCCTTGTAGATCAATAGAATGACAAAATTTAGAATAATTACTTTTTCCAAGGGTTAAGAATTCTGCATTGAAAATCTTTTAAATAGGAGGGGAAGGGGGGGGGGTTACTATAGAGATATCACTCTATCATTTTCATATTTAGCTCACCTCAGTGAAATTGGGGGGGAGCTTATGTGATAACCTTGGCGTCGGCGTAAAAAGTTTTCGTTGCGGTTTCTTTAGCTCAAGTGAGCTTTTCTGATGACCCGTTGTCCAAGCTGAAGCTTATATGGAAGCACTTTGTTCAAGCCATGACCGCCGGGAGGTTTTACATTGAAGTATATATTGGAAAAAACGCTAAATTTCGAAACTTTTACTTTGGCCATAATGTTTGAACAGTTGGTGCCAGGACTTTTATACTTCACATACTAGTGTGTATACTTTATGACAAGACCTTCCATTCGATACCAAAAACTTTTATCTATTGACCTTGGAGATTGACCTACTTTTAAAATACTTTAACCTTGGCAATATTTTTTTACGGTAATGGACAGGGCATTCAAACTTCACACATGTAATTTTTGTGACAAGCCCTTTCATTGGATACTAACAACTTTGACCCTTTGACTTGACCTTGGAGTTTGACTTCCTTTTAATAAACTTCACACATGTAATTTTTGTGACAAGCCCTTTCAATGGATACTAACAACTTTGACCCTTTGACTTGACCCTGGAGTATGACTTCCTGTTAATAAACTTTAACCTTGGCAATAACTTTTGAGCGGTTGGTGCGAGGACTTTCATACTTCACAATTTTTGTGACAAAATCTTTCAATGGATACCAACAACTTTGACCCTTTCTCCTTGACCTTGGAGTCTGACCTACCTTTTAAAAAAATAATCTTGGCAATATTTTTGAATGGGTAGGGCTAGGGCTTTCAAACTTCCCATAATTATGTAATCTTTGTGACAAGGCCTTCCTCTAGAATTCAACAACCGTGACCCTCTGACCTTGACCACGGAGTTTGACCTACCCTTAAAACTCTAACCATGACCATGACTTTTGAACAGGTGGTTCTAGGGTTTTATATTTAACATTTGTATTTCTTTTGATAAGGCCTTACTTTGGGTATCAACATGTTTAATTTGCATTTATGAAAATTTAACCTTCGCTATGTTGCCATATGGAGACCATCAGTTTTTCAGTAAAGACGAATGTTTACATATAATACATCAATTTGAAATAAATGTTTTTATAGGAAAGAGAAGGGTTTAAAGGGGAGGTTTATGCAACAATCAATTTTTTAAAACAAATTTCAGCTAAAGAATATCATTCCGTAAATATGGAATATTTTTTTGGTTCCTGTTCATCCTTTCATGCAAATTTCTCAATCCTTGTTGGATAAAGACAGATACCTTGTGACCCTATGTTGAGGGATGATGTGTTCTGTGATCCCCTCCCCCTCCTTGAGACAGTAATATTTGACACTTCCTGTTTCTTTGTTAGAGGCCGGGGTGTTCTATGACCCAGAAGATGGCCATTCTCTCCCTGAATTTCCATATAAAGAAATGAGGCTCCATAGAGAGTCTACAATGCCGGACAAAGTGTGTATTTCCAGTTTACAAGGAATGGAATTCTCCAGAAAAAGATACATTCCGCCTCCGTGTGGATCATTCTCAGTTGCATGTAAGCATAGAAAATTACAGTGCTACATCAAAACATTGTCTTCAAACCTAATCTAAATTACGTATACTGATGTTCAAAATTAATTAACATTTTCTTCTATTTAATCATTCTTTTTTTAACTTGTTCATTCTTGTTTTAAAAAATCAGCAAAGTATAGAAGGTTTTTTTCGTTCTTTTTTGCAGATTTTGATAATAGACCAGCCTCTAGTAAAGGAAGCGGATTCAATGACAAATACATTCCATTTCTGCGTGTTAAAACAATCATTTAGATATTTAGACAATGGTTTAATGAAATGGTATAACACGACTCACCGGGTGAGAGTGTTGATTTGTAAAACATTGATAGCATACTACAGCTTTTGATGAGGTAGTCTATGTTGGTTTTTAAACTAGCAAAACTTTCACTGTAATGAACTACCGCAATGTAAATGTATATTGTTAGTCGGTGATACCGATGGTTTTGTTTTCCACAATTTTGTTCACTATCGTCTTGGTTAGAAAATGGTTGCATATTAAATATTAAATATTAACAGGGTTTTGCTTATATCGCTTTGAAGCAGTCTAAGCTTCCAGGGCTGATACATGTACAGATCCTTTAGTGTTGATACAGATTCTGTAGGAATGATACGGATTCCACGGGGCTGATAAGGATCCTGCATGACTTATGCGAATCATGTAAAGGCTAAGCTGATACAGATCCTGCATGACTGATACGGGTTATGTAGAGCTGATACGGATTCTGCATGACTAATACGAATACTATACGGCAGACAAAGATCCTGCAGGACTGATACGGATTCTGCATGACTAATACCAATACTAAGCGGCAGACAAATTAGACCCTGCAGGACTGATACGGATTCTGCATGACTAATACCAATACTAAGCGGCAGACAAATTAGATCCTGCAGGACTGATACGGATTCTGTAGAGCTGATAAGAATTCTGCAGGACTGATACGGATCAGCAGACCTTATACACATGTATTGATGAATATAATCCCTTTGCTAAAATAAACCTGTAGCCATTTTTTTTTTTTTTGATATAACATATATTATTCGTTCTCTTAAAAATCATAGAAATAAAGTTAATCCAGAGACGTCTTCAGCTTCCCTTTACTTGGACCATATCTTGCGTACATTTCTATTCTGTTAAGGACTAATGACCATCTGCTCTTTTCACAAATCTTTTTACAACTTCTTAACATTGGTTTTCATCAATATAGCATCAGCTTCAAATGGAAAATAGTTTGAGGTATGAAGCGCTGCCTATTTTTTGCCAGATCATGATATGAAGAAATTAGAATAGAAAAAGTAACAACTTATTATGACAACATAAAATACCAAAATATGAAGCGTATATGAAAATTATATCTAGTGTCATACCTATTAACTCATATTAGAAAACATTTTTATGCTGTTCAAAAATTCATAAGTTTACTGAACAATGACCAAGTCCAGTAGAGTAAATTTATTGTAATCCAGAAACGTTTTTCATAATATTACTAATGATAAATGTTCAAGTTATCTCCCCCTAACCTTCTACTCAATGATTTTATGCAAATTCTCAGTCATCGTCACTCAGGCCCAGACTTCGTACTATACAAGTCTTTAGGAAATCGAATATAAATTAGAGAGCCTCAACAGTACTGCTCAATACCTTTGAGAGATTGAGCCCCACTCACTAGTCAAAGTTTTCACAAAGCAATGGTATTTCTGTAAGGTCACTCAAACCTCGTGAGATAACAAGGTCAATGGAGACACTGTATCCCAAATATATCTTCTTTTACTAATATCATGAATAACAAATATTTCTGAACTCAGAATCAGTTTTCTGATAGAATATTTTATGCCTCTGTCAGGGAATGGTCGATATCCATAGTGAATAGATATAAATGAGCTAATCTTTTATCAGTGTTTTTCCCTTTATATTGATAACGGTCAGAAAAGTTATGCTTTGTTTGAATATATTTTATTATGTAATAAATACATACGAGGGTTGATCCAAAAGTTCGTGGAATTCCTTTCTAAAATTTTATCGTGATTTGATGAAAGCAAACAAAAGGCATATTTATAAAAAGAGTCATAATGGAACAACATTGGAAAATTTCACCATTTTCCAATTACCAATAAGGTCAACGCACTTTGAAAAAATTACGCACTTTGAAAAAATTTTTCAAAGTCGCACTTTGAAAAAATTTTTCAAAGTGCGTTAAAAAATTGGGACAAAATCAAAGCACTTTGAAAAAAATTTTCAAAGTGCGTTAAATTTGGGATACACTCAACGCACTATGAAAAAAATTTTCAAGTGCGTTAAGAGTGTACATCAACATTTTAACCATGTGGACATTTAACGCACTTTGAAAAAAAATATGTATAAAAACAAAAATTCTAGACTTAGATTTCAGTAATTGAGAGAATCAATTTGTAATTTGAAATTATCACTGAACTTCAAGGTCAAGGTCAAAGGGTTAAGGTTCTTGGTATCCGATGAAAAGTCTTCTCAAAAGGATTACATATGTGTAATTTGAAAGCCCTAGCCCTTACTATTCAAAAGTTATGGTCAAGGTTAAATTTCTCTCAAAACTACAAAAAATCTCCAAGGTCAAGGTCAAAAGGTCAAGGTTGTTGGTATCAAATGAAAGGTCTTGCCACAAAGATTATATATGTGAAATGTGAAAGTCCTGGTATCTACTATTTAAAAGTTATGGTCAAGGTTAAAGTTTTTGAAAAGTAGGTCAACCTCCAAGGTCAAGGTCCAAGGGGCAAAGTTCTTGGTATTCAATGAAAGGTCTTCTCACAAGAATTATATATATGAAGTATGAAACCCCTAGCCCTAACCTTTCAAAAATCATGGTCAAGGTTAAAGTATTTTCATAAGTATGGAAATCTCCAAGGTCAAAAGGTCAAAGTTGTTGGTATCCAATAAAAGGTCTTGCTACAAAGAATACATATGTGAAATATGAAAGTCCTAGTACCTACCATTCAAAAGTTATGGCCAAAGTAAAAGTTTGGAATTTTTGTGTAAAAGTGGGTCAAACTCCAAGGTCAAGGTCAAAAGGTCAAACTTGGTGGTACCCAAAGAAAGGTCTTGTCACAAAGAATACACATGTGAAATATGAAAGTCATAGCTCCACTAAATCAGAAGTTATGGGCAAGGTTAAAGTTTTTGTGACGGACGGACGGACTGACGGACAGACGAATGAGATTTAATGAAAAACGAAAGCGGGGGACAATGATTTCATCTTTCGAAAAAAAGTTTAATTTACATGTATTGATTAACTCTCATCGAGAACAAGGAGACGATGAGTATATAGAAGGTCTCTCAGATCAACTCTTTATTTACTTAGGTAGCAAATTGAAAGTGGACCCCCCCCCCCCCGGTAAGCCCCAATTTTTAATTCCTATATTATGATTGATTGTATATATAAAACGTCCCTCTCGAGAATTTTTCAATTATATGGAGACGTCACCACTTGCCGGTGGGGAGCTGCAAATTTTGTCCTATACTCGGCACTGAGGGCCATTGATCAGGGAGGGATCTTTTTCGTTCCATCACCTACTGCGACACGGGACAAGGTTTGTACGGTCTCATCCGAAGGACCGGTCTCCACGTCCCACAGTGGGACTCGAACCCTATATTATGTATATCTTTGCAAAAAGTCTAGGTAAGAGAGTTCATTGAGCATAAAACATTTTCACCACATTTAAGGTTGAATGCCATACCAACTTTATATTTTATAGATCTTTGAGTCATCCTTTTTAAACAATGGCTTCAGCATTGAAAGGCCGATAGTATTATTAGCTCTTAATTATTTATGTTGATTTTTTTCTGTATTTTTTCAATTCAAAGAAAATGAAAAAAAATTATTTATATCCAAATAAGTTGTGGCATTTCTTCTTAATGTGCACTAAATTAAATGTCAGGGACAACACCAAACTTCTATCCAAGTCATCGATAGATTTTACAAAACTCGGAAAATGGATTTCAATGATTTATTTATGATATATTCTTATTTTTCATTGCTAAAGTCTTCAAATCTGTTACAAAATGTACTATCTGGTAAATGTCGGAAATGAAAACTAAAAAATGTCGGAAATGAAAAGTTGATAATTACAAAAAATTCCGGAGATGAAATGCAGCCTGGCATAGCTTATATAAGCCCTCTCCACAGGTACAAGGTTAATCAATACATATTATACATATACATGTACTACAAACAGTTAAGGTTGATTGTAAGGTTTTCTGACTTTATCAGTGATAGTGCAGTCACTGATATTGCAATCCTCTGAAACCAGAGAAGAGTCGTTTTATTTTATCACTCAAAATTTTCTTTCACCTACTGCAAACTCTACAAATTGACGATATAGAGCTAAAAACATATATTTCTACCGTAATGTAAATTAGGCAAATCGCAAGGTCAGTTGGCACTTTTCAAAAGTTACAGTTGTGTGCCAAAAGTCAAGATAATTTTATTTTTTCTTTATATATTTCATTGAAAACAATATATTGTAAAATCGCTGATATGACAACATTTCTTGACAGATTTTATCAAAAATTTCTTGATAATCCAAGAAATTGTAGTTAAAAAAAAAACAATAGTTTTTATCTGATAAGCATTGATAATTTAAAAATATTGTAATTTAAGTGTGACATGAATTTTTAAGTCATATACTCACAATGAATTATATATACTCACAATGAATTATATAGTCAACATTGATCTTGAATTTTAGAACTGATGTTTAGTGATGAACTATATTTTACTACATATTAAACGTGTAATAATCTTTTAAAGAAAGATAACTTCACATTTACTGGTTTAAGTACTGAAATAAATAATTAAATTGGACAAAAATTGACCATTTACCTATGATTTTACAAAATGTTGTTTTCAATGAAATATATAGAGAAAAAATAAAATTATTTTCACTTTTGGCACGCCACTGTATGTCCCTTGACCGCCATCTTAGGGGATAAACCCACAGAATCCTCACAGTAGCCTTTGTAGTTTTCAGGTTTGTGACTTTGTCAATTGACTGGGAAAAATTGTTGCATAGTGTATGCTGATTGCCCCATGTTGGGGTTACCCACACGTCCAAAGAAAACAATTTAAACACATTGGATTCATCACAGCTCGCCCAAATGTTTGGTAGCATAAAGAGGAGAAATGTTGTTTCTTTCCCTTTTGACCTTTTAGTTGACCCCGCAAAGGGACACAACTTTAAGTGTGGATTGGTCTAACGCCTGTTATAAGCACACAATTTATCTGCTTAAAATATAAGAGAACATTTTCAAAGAATATATATTTCTCCAGTGGCGGATTTAAGGGGGGCGCACCCGGCGCACCCCCCCCCCTGAAAATTGTCAAAGTTAGCGTAAATCACAGTTTCGTCTAGAAAATGTAAATATGTCTACTTGGTAGACCTCATTTTCACCGTACAGAATCTCTAGAATCCAGGAGCTTCCGGGGGCTTCGCCCACTGAGAGCCACCAGGGCTTTGCCCTGATCCCACTGAGGGCCTCAAGAGACAAGACGGCCCCCAGACCCCTTGCTTACTTTTGGCGCCCCCTCTAACTTCAATTCCTGGATCCGTGCCTGTTTTCACTATAAAATTATTAAAGCCCTGTCCTCACTCCATGTCTTGGGTTTCTAAAATTTAGACGAGCTCACTTTTGATCCGTCTCACTTTTGCACTATTAATTCCTTTGGAAAAAGTGAGACCGAGATCAAAAGTGAGCTCTTCTAAGTTTTATGAACCTGAACTTCTGACCAAGGGGCCGTGAATTTACAATTTTGAAAGAGGCACCTTTGTTCATCATAGCCATGAACCTACTTTTTTCTTCTTAATTTTCAAGGGGATTGGAAGGAGATTATAAAAGAAATTGACTGTGCATTTTCACTAGAGCTGAACCCCACCCTAAATCTAGAACCCCTAACTCGGGGACCATTATTTTCATAATTTTGATACAGGACTCTGTGCTCATTTACAATCATGCAAACAGTTTGATTGCTTGATGTCCATGATTTAAATTTTTAAAGATAGGATTATTGTTATGTTTTAATTCCATTCCTCAGGCCCCACTGGAGCTGGGACCATGAAATTAATGATTTTTAACCTTTCATCGACTAATGTTTAATTGGCTGAAATTGATTCCATGGTTGAAAAGATTTCAAAAGTTTTATTCATGACAGACATGATGGAGAAAACTAGGATGCAATGTCACCTGAGAAACTCAAGTGACCTAAAAATGAATACTATTTCTCTTAATAAGATTAAATTCTGCTTTAAAAAGTTTATTGATGTCGCAATGTCTTCTTCTGTAAGTACCATACAAAAGTAGTCACTGTTCAGATTGAAAACAAGTATCTGTTTGCTTATAATACAAACAGAATCTTTCATTTAAATCAAACAACTGAAGTTCAGTCCTTTGGATTAAACCACGTTGCAGTAAGTGCAGGTGCAAAAAGATCCCTTACTGCTCAATGGTCCTAAATACTGAGTATATGTCTAAACAAACCAAATTGTTAAACAATTATTTTTCCAATGAACTGTCTAGTACAGATTTTTCCACCAATCATGAAAAAGAACAGACATCAACAGATCAGGTTACCCATGTCTGGTACCTGATCCCCCTGCCTGGTACCTGATCACACATCTGGTACCTGATCCCCCTGCCTGGTACCTGATCCCACATCTGGTACCTGATCCCCCTGCCTGGTACCTGATCCCACATCTGGTACCTGATCCCCCTGCCTGGTACCTGACCCCACATCTGGTACCTGATCCCCATGTCTGGTACCTGATCCCCCTGCCTGGTACCTGATCCCACATCTGGTACCTGATCCCCATGTCTGGTACCTGATCCCACATCTGGTACCTGATCCCCTGATACTGAGTATATGTCTAAACAAACCAAATTGTTAAACAATTATTTTTCCAATGAACTGTCTAGTACAGATTTTTCCACCAATCATGAAAAAGAACAGACATCAACAGATCAGGTTACCCATGTCTGGTACCTGATCCCCCTGCCTGGTACCTGATCCCACATCTGGTACCTGATCCCCCTGCCTGGTACCTGATCCCACATCTGGTACCTGATCCCCCTGCCTGGTACCTGATCCCACATCTGGTACCTGATCCCCCTGCCTGGTACCTGACCCCACATCTGGTACCTGATCCCCATGTCTGGTACCTGATCCCCCTGCCTGGTACCTGATCCCACATCTGGTACCTGATCCCCATGTCTGGTACCTGATCCCCATGTCTGGTACCTGGCCTGGGGGCCATAAAACTTAGATGAGCTCACTTTTGATCTCAGTCTCACTTTTTCCAAAGGTATACTGGTATGTAGTAGAAGAGTGAGACTGAGATCAAAAGTGAGCTTGTCTAAGTTTTATGGCCCCCAGGCCTGATCCCACATCTGGTACCTGATCCCACATCTGATTTTTAAGAGCTCTGTATTTCCTCTGCCCTCTAAGGATACATTTATTGTGGATTTTTAAAGTTTTGAGCTTGATTACTGATTGCTATCTTCATTTAAATATGCACACAGTAACTTTTTAAAAAAACATTTTATGTAGTCATGTAATACATCATGCCAACATTCTTTTATAAACATTTAAAACAAACAAAATGCTTAACAAACTTAACAACTGAATGTTATATGGCAGAGGTCTGCTTCATCATAAACAGGAAACTCTGTGTTTACTTTCATAGAAAACGTACAATGCTTTCTAATATAGCACTACATATCTATTAAATTTCATTCACAAAAAAGTCCAAATCTTTGATCATTTGTATGGGATGAAATAAGAAGCTGAGAGATCTTATTCTATACTTAAATGAAGAAATCGATAATAAGACTTGTGTCATAGATTAATTCCGGAGAGAAGTTCATGACAGAGTTGCCTGTAGTGTCCCTTGTCACCGGAGATTCTCCTGACCTGGAGTCCATTGTAGCTCTCCCCCTGACACACCTCCAGCTCCATCTGTACGTCCGATCTCTCTAACCTAAACAGGTGGTCAGAAAACTGCACAACTTTACCTTTATCACCTAACTCCAGAATGCGTTTAAGTTCACAAAGAATATCATCCACAGTGCGCGTGGAGGCCAGGTTAATATTAGAGTTGACTTTCTGAATATTCACCTGATTCTCAGTGCTTTTTTGGTTTGATATTGAGAGATCAATAGCTGTACCCCCATTAGGTAAATCTGAGGGCTGTCCTTTCATTGCAGATGAATTTTTGTCATTCTGAAATCTCTGTTGACACTGCATTAGATCCATGGCATTTGTAGTCAATCCACCATAATGTCCATGTTTCTGATAATCCATCTGAGCATTAGACCAGTTGTATGATGAAAACGGTAATTCACTCTGAGAAATATCCCAACAGAAAGTTTTTCCACTTACTTGATAAGGGGGAATGTTTGCAAGATTTGAGTTGTAGACTACTGTACTAAAAGTAGCTAAGCCTTTTTGTTGACAGTATTGCTGGGGAGATGCCTGTGGAACAGAATTAGAGCGCTGATCCTGGAATGTTGAGTAACTTCCTGAGTTTATACATGGTGTCTGTAAATCACTGTCTTCCATGTTTTCAGTTTCATCACCATCTGAGTTAACAGACGTTACATGACCATGCGTGTCTGTAATACTTATCTGAGGTTTGTTTGTAAACTGTCTCTGCCGAAGTTCTGCCATAATTTCTTTGGAAATCGATGCATTCATACCAACGTCCTCATCACTGTTAGTCGTGTCTTGGGAATCTTCCCGTATCATCTGTAAATTCTGAAAATTTGTGCCACTTGGGGGGGTGCTAGCCCTCTGCATTGGCTGAGTGAAGGAATGAAAGAGAAGAGACTGTGGAGGGGAGTCCGTCCGCTGTCCCAGTAAACAAGTAGGCGGGCTTCCTCTCTGGTAGTTCTGTGGCTGAACCAAATGGAGACGCTGTAACTGCTGGTACAGTGAGGAGGTCTGTGTGTCTGTCTGTAGTGGACTATTATGAGAGAAACTTGGAGAGGCTGGTGCGAGCGGTGGTGATGGAACTGGGGAAGGTGGCATGTTGTTGTTCTGTAAGTATAGAAAGCATTAAGATGAATACCTTACACTATACACAATTCAAAGATCTTAAGTAAGTTTGAGTCATTTTCATTCATATCAAGATTTTATTTAGTAACCTTAACAGAACATTTGGCTCTAAGAAAGAAGGATTGATTGTACAAGTCTTCTCAAAGACTCTCAATGCAACTAATATTGTGAATGAACTTCAGAGTAAAATACAATTCTTAAAGACATTTAGCGATTCTTTGCACACTCAACACCTTTTGTACATATAAATTGGTGTATCTATCATAAGGTATTGAACCCAAATGATATCAGGCTTGTTATCCTGTAAACATATTGCCATGAGTTGTTAATTACATGAAATTAGTAGCATAACTATGTGATAATTATTGTGATAGAAGGATTTTAAGTTAATTCTGAATAAAATATACAAAAAGGCACTTGTATATAGGTATGTTTAAGCCAAGAAAAGGATGTCTCTATATAAGGCTGATTTCTGGCATTTATAAGAAAATACTTGGAAAGAAACACCATGTTGGATTCCCAACTGAAATAACACCCACGATTAAAACAATTATTTCCACTGTGGTTGAAAAAGCAAGTCATACCAAACCATTATTGAATGAGCTTATTAATGTAAAATTTAACATACAATTTAAATGAATGGTGCCTTTTGCTGAAATTGGAATCTTTACACTTTTATACACCTTCAAAAAACATTTTTCATTTGAAGAGTTCTCTAAGTCAGGTATGAATCTTAATATCTTTTCCTTTACAAAGTTACTGTTTTGAAATTGAGTGAACAGATCCACAGATGGACAGTTAGACAGACAATGTGATTCCTATATCTAACTAGAACTGTCAAAATGGGACAAAATACCCCTGATGGGTTTTTCGGAGGTAAGTTTTTCCATAATAAAGATATGCATCAAACATGAATCATACAATTTTTCTTTCAGTGACCTTGAACTTGCACAGATGACCTTGGGTCAAGGTCAGGACACACCCTTAGGTCATGGGCAATCTTTGTGTGAAATGAGAACCAACCAAGTTTATCCATAAAAAAGATATGGACCAGACACGAATTATGAAAATTTTTCTTCTAGTGACCTTGAACTTCCAAAATGACCTTGGGTCAAGGTCATGGGCAATCTTTGTGTGACATGAGAATCTACCAAGTTTATCCATAAGAAAGATATGGACCGGACACGAATTATGAAATTTTTCTTCCAGTGACCTTGAACTTCCCCAAATGATCTTGAGTCAAGGTCATGACACACCCTTGAGTCATGGGCAATCTTTGTGTGAAATGAGAACCTACCAAGTTTATCAATAAGAAAGATATGGACCGGACACGAATTATGAAAAAAATTTTTCCAGTGACCTTGAACTTCCCAAAATGACCTTGGGTCAAGGTAATGACACACTCTTGGGTCATGGGCAATCTTAGTGTGAAATAAGAATCTACCAAGTTTATCAATAAGAAAGATATGGACCGGTCACAAATTATGAAATTTTTCTTCCAGTGACCTTGAAGTTCCCCAAATGACCTTGGGTGAAGGTCATGACACCCTTGGGTCATAGGCAATCTTTATGTGGAGTAGTAGATTCTAATGTTCCTCCATAAGAAAGATATGGACCGGACATGTTTGCACAGACAGACGGACAGGGTGATTCCTATATACTTCGATTGCGGGGGGAATAATTAGAGATACTTCTTTGAACCCATTACCCCTTACATACAGAGCTCCCAATTCTACTGCTTAAGTATGATGTTGTGATGTTAGGTAACAAGCAGGCAGTAACCAGTGCACTATTATACCAGTACATCCATAGATGATAGGCATACAGAAACAAGCAGAATGACCTCTCCCCAGTAGTGTTATATAAATATAGACAAACCTGTTATAAATACTTGGGATATGACTTTTGCATGGAGTAGTCCTATAAGAGGAGGAAAGCTTTGTGTACGCAGAAAGCAAACAATGCTTGACACAGGAACATCTTAAACTCTGTGCCAAATATTGCCAGTTTTAATGCTGTACAGAAATAAGATTATGGTCAAAATGTTTCATATTCAAAGAATTCAACTGTTATTTGTAATGGAATGTATCAGGTCCTATATAGAAACACATTAGGGATGTAAAAGGTATTTATAACTGCTCAATTACTGTTTGAATACCAACTTCAAGTTAATGAATTGAGATACCATATAAGCAGAATTTTTAGCGAGGATTTAATTTTGACGTTATTAGCAAGGATGCTGAGATTGCTAAAATTGAATATCACTAAAAACTGATTGTGTTTAATTTGTAATAGGTTCTTGAGTGAGCATTTTAAAATGGCTAAAAATTACATTTCGCTAAAAATAAAATACCAGTTTTGTAGGACAAATTGCTAAATTTGTGTCTCACTAAAATTTCCACTTATATGGTATACCTGATGCTATTGTGTCAAAAATGACACCCTCTTTTGGTGTGGATCCAGTTATTAAGAGGAATGATTACATACATGTACAAAACATAAAGTTGAACTCGCTGACATGACCAAAATAAATTTCAATTAGTAAAGTACTTGACAATCATTTGAATGAAGCTAGCCCATGCTTATTTGACTAAGATATCTGAAAGAAATTAACTCCTTAATAGTAGCTGCAGATCTGTAGCTCTCCGAAAAAAGATAAATTGACACACCGGAGAGCTACAGAGCCACCCATTGAAAAAACTGTATATTTATTGCGCACAAAAAAGTGTGCCGTTTCTCGATTTATTTCTCCATGTTTTTAAAACAGTCATCTCAAAATATTACTAATCGTGTGTTCCCTAACATATTCTTTCACTATTTCCACTACAAAAAATTCCTTATAATTGTTGTTAATAACCCTCCTGGCCCTGAAATTGAGATCATTGAAAATTTCACCAATTTATAATGCCATTTAGCTTTGGAAGATAATTCAGTCCAACACACTTCACACAGAAGTAAACTACGAAAGTATTTGTTAGAGAAGTAAGGAATCTTTTAAAATCTAGCTTTTTTTTTCAATTTGAGGTAGGAATTTGGAAGAATTAATCCTGAACCGTGTGCACTTTTTTGTGCGCAATAAATATAAAGTTTTCTCAATGGGTGGCACTGTAGCTCTCTGGTCTGTCAATATATATTTTTTCGGAGAGCTACAGATCTGCAGCTACCCTAATTTATATGAAGACCATGGTTCAAAAGTGTGTGAAGAATTATCCATATTGCTTCATCAACAGATAAAGGAAATAAGGACCTAGTGAGAATTGGATTCAGAAATCAGAATGATCCTAGCCCATTGAAAGAAATAGATAAAAAAAGGTTTCTATTCAAAAGAAATAGTATGATGTGAAATGTAATAAATAATACGTAAATACGAACAACATAACAAGGTTTGGATTAGTTTTAAATGAACAATCAATAATAACCTTGGAAACAGGATCCTGTGTGAAAGTAGTTAACATGTTAAAAGCAAGTGTTATAATGTAGTCAATATTAGTGTTCAGTGAAAGATGTGATCCGAGATGGCTAGAACTTCTGCATCACTGATTTCGCTATTGTTATTTCCTTGTTTTAATTAAGAACTGATTTACAAGGAAATTTTCACCTGTTTTATTTTAGAACCTCTTACCCTCATCTTTAGGGGGGATATTAAATGAGAACTGTCCACAGTGGACAATTATCCCCTGCTAGGTCTTTCAGAGAAGGTCCAAGTCACTAATACTAGTATTGGTGTTCACAATATCTATAAACATTTAGAGTGAAAATTTACTGGTACATGTAATTGATCATCATAAATTTTTCTAAATGAAACTAAGGTGTAGCCTTTACCCTTATAAAACATCAAAACTAATGATATGGACCAAACATCAATTATGAATGTTTTCTTTCAATGACTTTGAACTTGCAAGTCATGAACACCTTCAGGTCATAAACAATCTTTGTGTAGAATTGGACCTCCCTTTGTTTATCCATAGAAAGATATGGACTGAACATGAATTTCTTTCAGTGACTTTGAACTTGCACAAATGACCTTTGGTCAAGGTCATGACACACCCGCAGGTTAAAAACAATGTGTGAAAAAATAGTGGATTCTAACGTTCCTCCATAAGAAAGATATGGACCGGACACATTCACACAGACAGACAGATAAGGTGATTCCTATATAAACACCCCCTCCCCCCCAAAAAAACTTTGTTTGCAGGGGATATAAAAATTAGACAAATTATATAGAATTACAGTTATCTCTCCTCTATGTCTAACCATTCAAAAGGGCAAAATCCTTTGCAAGTGTAATTGGGTGTGAATAGCACAGCATGAAAATAATCCTGTATACAGCATTTTCTTGTTTTGAACGCACAATATTTCTATTCTTGTAATTTTTCACTGTATTGCTTCAGACAGATTTAATTTAATGCTTTGCCGTTCTGCAGAAAAACTGATCAATATAAAAATCTACAGAGAAAATAAATCAACATAAGTGCACCAAAAAGAATCTTTCTGCAATTTAAGTCATTCTGTTGAATTTTTTTAAACAATTTTTAAATGCTTGTATTAGTGTACTTGTTTAGAAATTTAAAAGAAAGAGTGCTATGGTTAGAAGAAAAAGACAAACATGTAAAATTTATAGCTCTTTCTGCAGTGAAAAAATTTAAAACATGCATTTACATGCTTAGCTAAAACACTAGCAGCATTAATCTCAAAAATATTGATATTTCTCCAAACAACTCAGTTTGATTTCCAAGCATTTTCAAGTCAAGTACCTGATGTGAGTGAAATACAAATTTATGAGTATTGTATATGGTAAAATTTATGCAGTTTAGAGGAGTAAATGGAAAAAGAACCAGAGTGTTTCTAAGTTGTGAATATTGCATGCCATTTGCCTTAGGCATTTTTGAAAAATGCATTATGGAACTGAACTTGCTATTTGAGTAGTGTAAGTTGTAAATGTGTGCTATTTGAGTGTTCTAAGCAGTGTGAAATGTGTGCTGTTTATTTGTATTGTAGGCGGTTAAAGAGGCTGGTGGGTGGTCGTGGCCATTTGTAGATTATTTTGATCTCCTTTAGAAGAAGAGCTCCATAAAAAGATATAATAAAATGATCAAATTTCAAAACTAAATTTTATGAAATTTTTCTTCGCCAAATGATAGTTGACAGCTCAAGATATCATATCTAAAAAAATAAGTTATATCTGGTGGTTAATAAAAAAAATAAACTGTTGACCCCCCAGCGTCCTTAAAAGTGTTCTGTTTATAAGTCAGTGTAAAATGTGTGCTGTTTGAGAGTTGTAGGTGGTGAAATGTGTGCTGTTAGAGAGTTATACTGGGTGAAATGTGTGCTGTTTGAATGCTGTACAGGGTGAAATGTGTGCTGTTTGAGTGTTATACTGGGTGAAATGTGTGCTGTTTGAGTGTTGAAGGTGGTAAAATGTGTGCTGTTTGAATGTTGTACTGGGTGAAATGTGTGCTGTTCGAGTGTTGGAGGTGGTAAAATGTGTGCTGTTTGAGTGTTATACAGGGTGAAATGTGTGCTGTTTGAGTGTTGAAGGTGGTAAAATGTGTGCTGTTTGAGTGTTATACAGGGTGAAATGTGTGCTGTTTTGAGTGTTGAAGGTGGTAAAATGTGTGCTGTTTGAGTGTTATACAGGGTGAAATGTGTGCTGTTTGAGTGTTGTAGATTGTTAAATGTGTGCTGCTTGAGTGTTGTAGATTGTGAAATGTCTGCTGCTTTAGTGGTGTACTTAGTGAAATGTGTGCTGTTTGAATGTTGTACATTGTGAAATGTGCTATTTTTGTTGTACATGGTGAAATGTATGCTGATTTAGTGTTGTACTGAGTAAAATGTGTGCTGATTTAGTGTTGTACTGAGTGAAATGTATGCTGATTTAGTGTTGTACTGAGTGAAATGTATACTGATTTATCATTGTACCGAGTGAAATGTATGCTGATTTAGTGTTGTACTGAGTGAAATGTATGCCGATTTATCGTTGTACTGAGTGAAATGTGCGCCATTTACATACAGTGAGGGACAAAGTGAAATATTTGCTGCTTACCTGGAGTGAGTGTTGTAGCCGGTGAAATGTGTGTTGCTGCTGAAGTTCCACCCCCTTGCCAGGATCTCGTTGACATTGTTTCTGTAATATAAAATTTCCATGTTTTTGGTTTGTGTAATTGACATTATATAAAGCCCTGCATTACCTGAAGCTCCTGACATTCTTGCTGTATTTGTTTGAGACTAGAGTTACTATTGTGTAATTGAGTAATTGACATTAAATAAAGCCCTGCATTACCTGAAGCTCCTGACATTCTTGCTGTAGCTGTTTCAGACTAGAGTGACTATTGTGTCGGGAACTTGACTGCTGTATCGTCTGGTTGTAAATTTTTTCTAGATGTGATTGATATTTGTGTAAATTGGCCAGTCCATCACTAGCTCTTCTTACAGGAGAAAACCTCTCATTTGGCAGATGTAAAGAATTTGCAAAAGAATTTGGAGCTAAAAGCAAAAAAAAATTATAATTTTTATTCCATGAAACTACATATTATTAGGGCTGGGACAATACAACTTTTTTTATATCAATACGTATCATGATATTTGAGCCACGATACTATATGTATCACAATATGTTTAATTACTTATAAAATCTTTTTTTTGCATTGAAATAAACAAATTATTGAATAAGAATAATTTATTCAAAATTGTTCTTTATATGTTGTAAAACAAAAATATATTACTCAAGTGGTGTTAATCATTATTCATTTCATATCTATATTGATATTTAGCTTATTTATTTTACATATTAAACCCAAAATTTGATGTAATATTGTTTATTGTTGTTGTTGTAATTAGAAGGTCCTGGGGAAGAATAGTGTGTCACACTAATCAGGCCACCTTCTCTAAATAAAGTATTATTATTATTATTATTATTAAAATGTTAAATAAACAAAGAAAAAAAGGAGTAAGATTTTTTTGGGCCATATTTCGATATTTCTTCATATGTATCAATATGTGTATCGTCCTTACAGATATCTCGATATATCATCCCAGCCCTACATATTATCGTGTTATATATTCATTTAACTTTTTGGGGACCAGAGAACATTGGACAATTTTATCCTCACAAAAACAAGACCAGAAAAACAAGTTTCTAATTGTCTTAGGGAGGCAAAATGACTAAGTGAAGCCCTATCAATACCTCATGTAGTCATCAGTTTATATCACAATGGCAATTGGAACCATATCATTGACAAAGAAAATGAATTTGAACAGTATCAGCTTAAACATTCTATGCTATAAGAAGGTGGAGAATTACTGCAAAATTTTTCAAACACCCTGTTTTTTGCAAGATAATCATTGAAACTTTTGAGACAAAATTTTCAAGAATATTGGTTGTTACTGTACCAGATCTTGAAAAACCTACATCAGAATAAAATGTTTGCACACACAATGATAATAAAACATATGAATCAATTCTAAGGTAAGGCATCTAATTTTAATTAGTTCACTGTTCATTGAATGACACGGGTGACCTGAAAATTGACACTAACTTGATGCTACTCTCTCGGGAAGTGACATAGTTCCTAGTGCACTGCCTCTTCGCTGTGTTCGTATGGGCTGAAGGGACAACTTCTTCTGTAGTTCTTCTGGAATCTCGTGTATGGGGTTGGACATTGCCAGAGTGTGTCTCTTACTCCTGCCTCTACTTGCCAAGTATCTGTTATTACATTTCACCAGTTCAGTATATTTACTATTGTTGTCAAGAGAAAGTCAACTTTACAGAAATAAAAGTTCTTCTGACAAAAAACATGATTCAAATACATGTATATACTAGCATGAAATCCACAAACAAGTAAAATTATGGTTATTCTAAAAGATTTATAACTTTAAAGAGATTCCACAGTACATGTATCTCTGTTTGAGAAAGCGTTGCATTTGATAAGCATATGTAAAGTTTGGTAATGATAAGCTTCATATTAATAATAATCAGTTTTTAACTTAGTTTTTATCAGTCAAATTTTAGTATGAAATGCTTTTCATAGCTTTTCTCAATCTTCAATGATCTAAATCTACATTTGTAAGTTAAACAGAAAAGGTTTAGCAAGTTGTGTCTACTACAGCAGTCTATTTTGAATTTCCTAAAAATCTTGAAACAGCAGACCTTTTTTTCAAAAAGAATTAAAGGAAGGAAACTTAGTTCTTTCTTTCTTGTTTTATTTATGTGGGCTATCATTTATTTATGTGGGCTATCGAAGTGGTAAAATGTATTTGTACACATACTTATTGGACTTAAAATTTAAAAACAGCATAGACGTAAATATATTGAAACATTTATAAAACAAAATTAAATTATAAATCTTAATAACAACTAAGTCAAAAATTGAAAAGCATTCTGTTTTTCTTTCAACAAAAATGTCTAGTTCAGGACAGTTCTGACATTGTTGTAAAGAAACTGAATCCAATTTTATTTCTCACATAACTTTATATGACAAAACACTTAAATGACTAAAAGTAGTAGAAACAATCAATTTTCTCTATCTGGATCAATCTTTAATGCCTGGTGACTGACCTTTGAACTGCCTCAGGGTCGGGCTCTTGGTCGGACCCCCCATCCTCATTCTCCTCCACTGTCAGAGGTAAACCCGCAGAGGACAACTGGGACTGGAAATGGTACATAATTTCAATCATTATGATTATTTTTTGAATGGCAATTTTTAATGCATTTAAGTAATTTGTATTTTAGTTCCATTTCCACTGAGATGACCTCAGCTCTCTCCACCTCCCCAGCTCTCTCTTGATTACAAACTTAATGCCTTATACATGTACTTGACAAAGTTCTAATTTCTTCTTTGTACTACAATCTTATCTTATTGGTTGGAAGAAGCTTAACATAAAACTACACATATTCTGGGGTAATGGAAAATCTTTGTATTATTCTACAATTCCAGCAATGAGTTATGGTCTGCAAGAAATTTTTAAACTTAAATTCTTATGGCTTGCATTTGTCACAACCTACAACTAAACTTTAGATTCTAACTGACTAAACAAACTAAAAGTAGACATATTCACTGGTATGTTAATCAACAGGGCTAAACAAGTAGAATATGTGGTACTGTTAATCAAGTTTTGATATTAATTGAAGTCTTTCTAGACTTTACTATATCATACTCCTTGCCCTACCTGACTAAGAGAAGGAAGTGCCTCCTGACTGCCAGAATTTCCAGGAATACTAGTCCCTCCCTGGCATATCTGACGAGCAAACAGGTGAATGTTAGCGCCCCCATCTGACGCCCTCCTGTTCCAACCTCCTCCTCCCCCTGGTACAAAAGTCACACCATGTTTTACATTATCAACACAAAGTCATAGAAATGTATTTTATCCTATAAGAACTAGCAAGTGTAATCATAAAGCATCCTTTGTAATGGACAAGAATTTTACACTTCTGAATCAGAATGCTGCAAACTTTGTTGAAATAACCTTGGATTAATGCTATAACACACTTTCAGAACTAAAGCTCCTTTGTGCAATTGTACAAAGTATGAACACCTAACCTGCTAACATTTCTTCCCTAAAAATCTTTAGTATGATGCTCAAAAATCTTTTGATTCAATGTACATAGGGGGTGGAGTGAATTGTAAATTTTCAGACATACTCTATATCTTACGACAATATGGAACACAGTATCAGGATTACGCCTGCATTGTGAATGGATTTGCTGCTTTCAAAATTCATTGCATAATCAAATTAATCTTCATGTAAATTATGAAATAGCAAAGTTAAAACACAATAAATCACAATATAAACCAAATTGTACATAGATATTGGGGGGAAATCAAATGTTACCTGGCCCAAAGCAAGTAGGTATCTGTAAAAATTGCTGATCTGCGACTGCAACACTGGGCATTTCATTTGGCACAGTAGGAAGTGTATGAGGGTTGTTTGGCAAGAAACCCATTGGCCAGTAAAGATTGGGTTGAGGAGATGCTATAAGAGGTTGATGATTGGCCAGTTTGACTCGGACGTCTTCTGGCACCTCGTGACGTGAATCTCCGACACCCACTGTGTGTCGACGCATGGCAAGATAGCGAGCCAGGGCCTCGGGACACGGCTCCTCATTGTCCGAGTCAGAATGCTGACTAGATGAATCTTCTGCCTTTAAATTTAAAATACAAAATATTTAAAAGTAAATTAAGCTCTCCAATGTTAATGTCTTTAAAAAATAAGTCATACTTCAAGGTCACAAGGTCAAATACCAGTATGTTGTTGCCCAAAAAAGTAAATATAATAAGCCTTTGCACTCTAATCATTCAAAATTATGGCAAAGATCAAGTTTTTCCAAAAGATCTTTTTAAAAGAAATATTGTAGTACATGTACATGTAATATCCCTTGTCCCAAGTGTTCAAAAGTTTTGGCTGAAGTTAAACTTTACAATAATTAGCTACCCAGTAAATTAATAATAATATTTTGGATTACAGTTTAAGAATGTTAACAAAGCTCTATCAAATATTCTATTTCTGGTTCTGTAGAACTCTGAGAACATAAACAGAAATGTTCTACCTCTGCTTGCTGGACGAGCTGTTGAATGTTTGCTAAAGCTGCAGAAGGAATCAGAGGCCGAGCTTCTGCAGTAGTATCTTCAGACATATCAACATGTTCAACTATAAAACAGAAAAAAAAACATTAAAATGTCAAACTAATCCAAGCATTATCTTTTGTGCTTTTCATTAAAACATTTTCCTCAGAATTAAGGGGACCAACTATAGTTTTATTGTGTGAAAACTACAATAGCGAAACTCTTCATTTTTATACCATATATAACTTACATTAACTTCAGTGTACATGCAAAGTTTAGGGGAAATCTACCGTCCAGGTATTTTTGAGGGACCGTCTCAAAATACAGGTACATTTACTATAGGATTATATAGGAAAATGCCAATTTTTAGCACTTTAAAGCAAATTATACAAATGCTACAATAGACATTTTGTTCAAACTATAATATTTGATGAGTAATACTATATTATACAATATATGTAAGAAACACAAAATTCTACCGTCTTGTTACCAGAGGGGGCATCTCAAAATGCAAAAAATTAGCAAATTTTACTATTTTTATAGAGTATTACAAAATATGACGTACACAATGGATTAACATGAAAACATAATAAAAATATTGGAGATATTCTCAAATTTCTATGTTTTAAATTTCAAGAGCGTATGTTTATTACTTTTTCTTTAATAATAATTTTAATACCCCTTTCATTAAGAGTTACAGATTATCATAATGTCAAAAACACACTGCAACGACGTAAACCTACCTATCAATTGCAAAATCGGTTAAAAATCAGTTATATCAAATTGTAACTACATTTTTATACCTATAATTTCTTAATTTTGTTTAATTTTAATAATTAAGTGAAAAAAAGTTGCATTAAAACAGTAAATACGCTTCGTTTTACTATGAGGCGCGAAATATTGCGCAATGGAAACTATAGTCGGCCCCCTTAAAACATTCATTTATTCAAACAAAATGATTTGAATGAGTATAATAATTTATCTCTCCTGTGTGACTATCTGATACTGTTTTCACAAGAATGCAAATACCATATAAATTCACTGTAGACAAGTAAATTAATACTTTTGCATTTTGAAAGAAATATGATAAACCAGACAAGCAGCCCATAGGCTTTGATGGTCACCTGAGTATCATGCACTTATCAGGCTTTATCACTCAGGCCATGCCTGAAACTACAACTCTGGTTACATGTGACAAAATTTTATGGTCTATAAACATTATTCCTGATGACTGTCTCCTAGAGTTCAGAAGTAACACAACTAGGTACATTCTCTAATATCTTTGTAATATTACAGTTCAGGGTGCACGAAAGCACCTCCTTGTGTCAAGATCTGCTGGTCCCTAGTGGAGAGCAATACATGTATTTTTACTGTGACAATTAAAATTAAAACTAAAATGCAACCATATTTTATGGTACACTGCATTTCTAAAACACCAACTTTAGCCTGTCCTTAAGCACTAAAACAACGTTGGTTAAAACTGTGTCTCCATGGTGTCTATTGAGAGTTTTTGAGACATATAATTCTGTATCTTGTACACATCCCTGCATTCATTAAGATGAGACTTCAACACAATGTCACTCTGTACCCACCTACACCGGTCGTAATGCTGGACCTTCTCTCTGTTCTAACTCCTATAGGAATATTTGGTATGGGTGTGCTTGGTAATTTGCTAATACTTGTCTTTGGGTGTTTCTTCAGTTTGTCCAGAAGTAAATGGTACACAGCACTGTGATGATCATAGGCCTCCTTTTGTACAGACTTATAAAGAACAACACAAAAATCAATTGAAAATAGATGATCAGTCTCAAACTTTTAAGATAACAAAACGACCATCAAATGCACTCAGGTGTGGTCATTTTTATGTTTCCCAACGAATTTATCTTTCATTCCATTCTGTTTAAAGATTTTTGGTTCTTAACAAAGAGGCAACTGAATAAGTTACACATATATAATTTTTCAACTTACATTCTCTGTCATTTCACGATCCAGACCAAGGTTTTCCATGTGACTTAGAATAGTCTCGTTCAGTTCTTCTGTTTCCAGAGTTAGAGAAGGTCTCAGATAAGAAACTAATTCTTCAAACTCTGGATCCTCTCCACCCGTTTTGATCCATTCATGATGCAGAATCTGGTCTATTGTAATCCGCTTGGAGGGATCAACAGTCAACATTTGTTTGATCAAATTTTCACATTCTGAAGCAAAAAATGTTCCATACCCTTCATGTAACATTGTTTGATTACATTCCAATGACACTAAAATGAAAATATTTAGTAACAATATACCCCCCTCCTTTCATTTTTTAAATCAGTAAAAACACCAAACTCTATAGAACACCATCCTTTATTTTAGGTTAAAAAAGGTTGGGACAAAAGGCAACATAACAAGGGGATGTGAGGATACGTTTCTCATTTACAATCAAGCATATTTTATTTATTAAAGAACAATATAACATTCTTGAAAAAGTTTTCCATTATATCACAAATATAATATTTTTATCCATATGCCCTGAAAAACTGCTTAATCACGCCAGATATACCGGTAGTTATATTTCACCGGAAACAATTATATTGCCCTCCCGAACACAGTTGTGTTCCCTCGCGTGCAATTATTCTGCATATTAAATATCGAGTTCGATATTCAAAGAGGCAGTTGCTAAGCAAAAGTAAGCAGTTCCACGAAAATTAAAAGCTTGTACGTCTTCGATTTGTTTATTTGAATTCAGAGGAATTAGATAATTCAATTGAGGCGAAAAAAATCCTTAAATACAACAAAGGTTATCGACACAAGTGTCAGGCTGTCAGCATACTGAAAACATTCTGCCATGAAACAGGACGGGATATTTCGGAATTATACTCAATGTACATGTGTACAGTATTTAATAAATATGTTCGATGATCGATTAGGGTTCAATGTTTTAAAAAGGTTATACACCATATATCACATGGCTTAATTCCCAGGCAGCAATACCAGAATATTTGCCCCTTGGTGACAGGAAAGCCCTGGAGTGTTATGTCACGGTAGGCATCGGGCGACAGAACACTCCAGGGCTTTCCTGTCACCAAGGGGCAAATATTCTGGTATGCTGCCCTTGAAGCCATGTAATATATATATAATATTTACCTGTAGACATAAAAAATGGCACTCTAAATTTTCCAGACAGCACCCTGGACCTGAGACTGTGAAGTGAACTGCCATCAAAAGGTAGAGCACCACAAACAAGTACATATAGCACCACTCCAAGACTCTAAAATAAACCAATATATACAATATAAGTACACTGCTGTAGCATCAATTGCATCACTAAACCTTAGCTTATCTTTTACCTTGCTTAAAATTGTAATAGTAGTACCGGTAGTTAAAAGTTTCAGTACCTTAGATTCTGCAATTTTATAATAAAAGTGAAAAGAGAGTGACAAATATGATAGAAAATATTCAGTAAATATTCTAATACTGAGTGAGTTGGAAAAGCAAGTGTAACAACTATTGGCCATCATCACACTTAAACTGTTCTTTATGTACCGGGTAGTTTACACATTTTTTATTTCGTTTGGTTTTTAAACACACAGAACCATACAAATGTTTCATGAATAAGACGCTTGATTAAAATAGATGCTACTAATATCAGTATTATATCTGGACTCTTACCCACACATCCACTCCCGGGGCGTCGTATTCCTTGCCCTCAAAAAGCTCTGGGGCTGCATAAGGTGGACTGCCACACCAAGTTTTCATTGGAGAACCAGAAGAAAAAATATTACTAAATCCGAAGTCTGCAAAAGTGTTAAGATGCCTTTAATTAATTCTAATGCTTCTACTGAATTAGAGTATGATTCTTCTTATAATAATAATAATAATAATGATTGTTTTTATATAGCGCTTTTCTAGCATGAATACTACTCAAAGCGCTTTACAATACATTATTACCCCAGCAGACCTTAACAATCCAGAATCTTTCTCAGTGCAAGCTGCCGTTATCAGTGCTAGAACACTAACATTCTGACAATATCTTTCACTGTCTATAGCCAGGTACCCCTTTTACACTTGGGTGGAGTGAGGAAATTCGTGTAAAGTGTCTTTCCCAAGGACACAACGTCGGCTTGTCGCGGCCAGGATTCGAACTCACAACCTTTCGGTTTGGACTCCGGCACCTTAACCACTGGACTACCGACGCCAAATACTGTACATAATATGGCGTATTCAAAATTTAGTGTAATCACTGGGTATGGAGTTGTTGGCGTAATCATGAATTAGCGCTACACACGTCTGTTCAGTGCATTGTATATGTAAATTATTTCTTAGCGGTATTCATAAATTAGCACATTGTTGTCTGCACAAAAGCCCCTAAAATATGAAGCCCACTTTTAAAAGTTAGTACATATAAAGTACCTTGAATTGCAGCTGATGATTATTATATGATCACTGTCCTTGAAACAGAATTCTTTGCCAAAGTCTTAAATTCACAGTGAAGTACAGAATCATATCAAAAGAATTCCTGTTACCTGGGTACATGTACCAGTGATATACATTCACTTGATAAGAAATACATGCATGCCTAATTCAGCATTTCTCGACACCCCCTCCCCCTCCTCCAAACAAGTTTGTAAAATGTGCATTCCTCATGGTCTAGTGAAGAATAAGCATGGTTGTTCAAATCTTTTAGTTTAGTGAGCAAAAAAAAATGCAACAATTGACGTATGATTACAAGACCCATGCATATATTCAAGTCATATAATTTTAATAGCAAAATTCATTTGACAACATTGTAACAATATTACCTGCTACAGGGGTTCAAAAATCCTCAAGCCCGACGTCCCGGACTAACAAATTCCGGATCCGGACTCGGCATTTAGAATTCGCCAAAGTCCTGGGACTTAGCTATGTTTCTTGTTTATCTTTTTTTATAAGTTAAAAATATGATCGTAGAGATAAAAATAAAGCAAATTCTCAAATGTATTAAGGATAAATGTGTGTTTGTGGGCGTTAAAATACCCATAAAACATTACGAACGTTTCGAAAATACAATCCGTCTTTTTATTTTCCGTTGCGGTTAGACTCTTGCTTTTACGCAATTCCTCATGTTTCCTCCTATATGACAAATGGCAATGAGTTTCTTAAATTTCGGTTTTAGCTGTGACTTACAGCACATTCTAATTTCTGTTTATTGTAACAGATAGTTTATTCAGTAGTGAGTATTTGTAAAAGTTAATGTGATGTACCAGTAATCTATCAGTCTGGTATTGTGTTGAAATACTCATGTCTGATTATATACGACACTTTATGGAGGAAAAATAAAACATATATTAATACATATAGTCTTTATTTATTCAATGCAACAAATGAAAATAAATTATAAGTTACATAAATTTAATGATGTATAGGTAAATATGGACTCTGAAATTTCTTCCTCGGACTTGCCTAAAAATTACTCTTCAAGTCCTGGACTTGACCATGACAAAAAAATTTTTGAACCCCTGCTGCTATTTTGATATGACAACGTTCTTACAATATTACATACTATTTTGATATGACAACGTTCTAACAATATTACCTGCTATTTTGATATTGAGGTTGGCATCCAGTAAGAGATTTTCTGCCTTGAGGTCTCGATGAACAACATGTCTACAATGGCAGTAGGCCACAGCCGCAACAATCTGTTTGAATTTCTTCCTCGCTTCTTTTTCATTCATTCTTCCATGTGCTACTAAATGATCTGCAATTAGACATCACAATGGTCCTGATTAAGCAAGTTACAATATCAACAATTTATTTTGTTTGGACAAACTCTTACATTTAACAATGTCTGATTATGTTGTGACTTTCTCTTGAAAATCAAATTCTATGCCTTAATTTACACAACTGTAAAAACCTCTAGCAATCAAAAGTCACTAGTAAAGAAGACATTTCACTAAACAATAATGAAAATTCTTTTCATTTTTATTCATTTACTGTTCACCATTCTTGTGAGTAATTTCACATAAATAAAAGATTTAAGAACTAACCTATGGAAAGATACAAATATACAAAAATTTAACGCCTAAACGTACACCATACACTGTATAAATTATATTTATTTAGAAGCATATATTATAAATACATGTATTAAAGAAAGGCTGCAATACAAAAATACAAACCAAATATTTCCCCACCACTGGCATATTCTGTAACCAAATATAACATTCTCTCTGTTTCCATTACCTGAAATAGGAAAAGATCAAAGTTTCAGCAAAATCGTTTGAGAAAAAGTCTGACCTAAGGACCAGTAGACTACTGTCTGAAATTTTGTTCAACTTATCTGATACTAAGCCTTGGTTTACTCAATCACACTCCTTACATGCAGGTAAGGCACCTAATGCAAGAAGATTCAGACTAAACATAGGCATTTTTATGCAAATAAACTGACTAAAACATATAACAGGGGTGCCTTTAATATAAAGAAGTTTTTAACCCACTTTCTAAGACATATGTCAGACACTACTCAAAGAAATGAACAATTTGACCTCAACAAAAACAATTGTTTTCATAATGGCAATATAGAAAGTCTGATAAGAAGAGAAACAGATAAAATACAATAATTTTATAATTTAGACCTACTTTTAACCAGGCACAACTATACTAGTAAGACCCTAAGATACATCAACTAACAATGTTTGATATTCTTACTTTCTTAAGCTTCTTACTTTCAAAGAATTTTGTAGTATACAGAAAATTTAGCTAAAAATGCTTTGAAAAAAATCAAAAGTAGGTCAGTGACCTATTTTACGTTCTCAGACTGCAAAACTCCAAGGTTTTTATAATCATCCAAGAATTTAGGCTACCTAAAATTGAAATTCTGGTTCTCAGGCCCATTTTGAGGTAGCCGCATTGCTAATTTTATTGTTAGTTAAAGTTAGATTGCCTTAGATATGTATCTTTAAAAAAATGGTGCATCAGACCATCACTGCAACTTGCTCAGGTCTGTCAGTCAGAGTTAAACTGAAGCCTATTTAATTTGCACATTGCAAAATCTGTGTTTTTTTCATTATAATTACATCTAATCAAAATATACTCCAGAAGGTAGAATCTACCTACTTAATATAAAAACTCTTTAAAGAAGTCTGCAGAAGCAGGCCTGGTAAAGCTAATTAATGATAGGACCAGCCAATCCTTTACCTGATACAGCCGTACTATGTGAGGATGTTTTAGTAATTTCATTATCCGCATTTCTCTGTAGATTTTCTTAAGGTTATCTTCATCCAGCTGTTCTTTGTCAATTATTTTAATGGCAACCTGAAAGAGAGATGTTTCATTTAAAATTTTGAAATACAAATTAATCCGCATAATCACAAAAGAACCTAAATTAAGATGTCTTTTATATCGAATATTAACAACCAAAGTAAGATAGTATCCTGTAAAAACCTTGTTTTATCCAACTACTATATTTTTTTGCTTTTAAGCAAAAACTTTTGTGAGTACATAGATTGCAGGCAGAAGTATGTGTTCAATCAAATATTTAATGCATTTGGATTTACATTCACTGTGTTTTTCTACCAAGCCAACTGTGAAATTGATTTGAATACCATTTTCATGTATACTAATGCGCAGAAATAAACACATGCTAACGTGACGTCACAATGAGTCGACGTTTATAAAAAATTCAATTATTATATAGTGCAGCGAGATAATCCAAATATTGAGTATATTTTCGGTGCTTTCAAACATGTTAAATGTAAATTTTAAAACTTTAGCAGGGCTCTCGATTCTCTAAATCTGGGGCCGATATTTGGCCCCGTTCCCAATGCAAAAAAGGTACTTTTTTTCCCCAAAAAAAGGTGTAAATTTCCCAATTCCCATAGCAAAATATTAATTAAAAAATAGAAGTCCATGAAACTTAATTGCAGAAGAAAAGCTCAAACAAAACACACTTGCAAATGAAAGTGAAACTGTATGAGTGTTTTATTAGTTCGATCCAAATGCATTGGTAAACTGGTTCGAGGAACCAGGTAATTATTTTTACAAAAATGTGTACTAACTATGAATGCAGAGTATCTTGTCATGTAGTTTCGACAAAAAACATCATTTTGGTTTCAAAAATAGACATTTCATTTAAACATTAGTACCCTGCACCTTGAAACATACCCATGCTTCAGCATGTTCAGTCTCTCAATGTATTGGTAAACAAAGTTGTCCATGTCATAGAGGAAATTCGGGACTATGTGACTAGAGACTGTCACTCAGAAAGACAGATAACCAAAATATCAACACTCAAAGATGGTTATGACAAAGCTAATGTACTTTCATAAATGGCCTACGAACCCATGTTTGTTCTGTTTTTCTGTTTATTCAAAACCAGATTTAAATTGATGACAAAATGCTAGAAAAGCAAAATTTGAGATTTTTTTAATGAATGTTGGTTATCCAACTTTTCCCAAAATGACAATAATTTTCCCAATTTGAATGGCCCCAGCCCCAGTCCCAAAAAGTGGTGTGAGAGTCCTGAATTTAGTGTGAATTATTGGTGTGTAAACATGGTAAATCAAGTAAGCTATTTTTAATGCATCAAAATATTCATTTTAGTTATATGTTTTATACTGTTAACATGGTTAAGGTATAAAATATTTGAAAAGAAAAATGGTCTTTTTACAATGCTGCTTTTAACATTTCCTAGCTACTGAATCTCCTACATTACTATTCTGAACAGGAGGTAGGGTTGGGTTTGGTTGGGGGTGGGGGAGGAGAGGGGACAGCGATACTCTTGTTCCTCCACTTTCAATATTAAAGGGGGCACTACACACCCCCTCCCGTGGGGCCACCAGTTTTAGTATGGATGATATATACTATAGTACACACTAGAGGCATCTAGTTGCCTCCGTGCATGATTTGGACAATTTTTTTCCCTTTTTGCTTGTCTCAGATTTTTCTGTTAACAAAAGATTTGAAGTACTTATAGTCATCAAATTTTTAATCTGTCCATCCCCCTTTTTTAAAATGCTATTATATAATCCTGCAATGGTTTACAAGATAACCATCACACTGTGTCAGTTACAGTAGAATGCCATTGCATCAAAGGCTGAATTTGCATCCAAAATCAGAATACACATATTGTCATTACATATCGAAAAAATTTACAATTTATAAAATAATGCATTCTTTTAAACATTTTATAAATGGGAAACATGTCAAACTTCCAATGCCTCACTCATAACATAATTACATTCTCTTTTTTAAAGCTCTTTCAGTTATAAATATTATTTTAATAATCACCAATGAAAACTAGTAACTAAACATGATTGATGAAGGGATATTATAAAGACTACTTTGAGCAGTGAATTTATCATGAACAATCATACTGATGAGTATATGTGCCTTTGAAAGCAAAATTAACATACACAGGGCTCTCACATAGGGCTGTATCAATATATCGATACGTATCAATATTCAAGAAAAATATCGTATCGAAAAGTAACTTCCAATACGTATCGGACAGACATTTTTTCTTCAAATTCTGTTTAAAAGATGGGAATTTCAATCACCAAAGATTATATTTTACTTTTTTTGAATTAAAACCTTCAATAATTATATAATTTCTAAGGAAATAAAACAGTTTTTATAATTATTACAAAATACAAAGAGAAATTTTTTTGAACATGTTGATTTTACTGTCATCAAAAGTTTTAATTGAAGTGTTATTTTTAAAGACAATGAGACAAGAACTTTAAAATGGGTAATAAAACACTTAATTGTTATGAAATGTATGCATTAAAATGATTTAGAAGCCTTTTCTGATGGACTTGTTTCAGAATCCAATATATCGCATATCGCTTTAAAAAATATTGTATCGTATCGTATCGAAAATTTTGGCTCAATACACAGCCCTACTCTCACACCACTTTTTGGGACTGGGACCAGGGCCGTTCAAATTCGGAAAATTATCCTCATTTTGGGAAAAGTTGGATAACCAACATTCATTTAAAAAATCCTCAAATTTTGCTTTTCTAGCATTTTGTCATCAATTTAACTCTGGTTTTGAATAAACAGATAAACAGAACAAACATGGGTTCGTAGGCTATTTATGAGAGTACATTAGCTTTGTCATAACCATCTTTGAGTGTTGATATTTTGGTTATCTGTCTTAATTTCTGAGTGACAGTCGCTAGTCACATAGTCCCAAATTTCCTCGATCACATGGACAACTTTGCTTACTAATACAGCGCGAGACTGAACATGCCGAAGCGTGGGTATGTTTCTAGGAGCAGGGTACTATAACTAATGACAAGATACTCTGCATTCATATATAGTTAGTACAAATTTTTGGAAAAATAATAACTTGGTTCCCTGAACCAGTTAACCAATGCATTTGGATAGAACTAATAAAACAGTCATACAGTTTCACTTTCATTTGCAAGTGTGTTTTGTTTGAGCTTTTTTTCTGCGATTAAGTTTCATGGACTTTTATTTTTTAATTATAATATTTTGCTATGGGAATTGGGAAATTTACACCTTTCTTATGGGAAAAAAGATACCTTTTCTGCATTGGGAACGGGGCCGAATATCGGCCCCAGATTTAGAGAATCGAGAGCCCTGATACATCATTGAGATAAACACTAATTGTCTTTAAAATTTTGAAAAATAAGAAATTAAGGTTAAACAATACAATTTTATAACATTTACTGAAATACAGACTGGAAAATAGTACACAGAATTTGTCATTTGTACATTTATATATACATGTATATTTCAATTACCCTATTTTCACTTCAGCAAAATATGCCGCACTCACAGAAGATACACAATAGTGACTTTAACCTGTTTAGAAACGTGAGAAATGTGGACATGCTATTGTCTGAATGCATGTAGGCCATAACCTGTCCATTTTACAACAGAGAATAGATAGAGTGCACAGATCAGGTTATTTTAAATTCAGTACTCGAGCATTTTCTCAATCTCATAGCACCAGACATGAAAAAATCTCTTCACACATTCATTGGATGGTAAACCAAACAGTAGTAACGCCTAATACAAACCATTCGTGACAATTCTCAGACATCAACATGACACAACTGCAGCTGGTCATTAGGTAAAAAAAACAAACAAAAACAAGTTATTCCTATCACTTCATTGTTGACTTTACCTTTGTTTTTGTAACGATATGTGTTGCCAGTTTCACTACTGCAAAATTTCCCTTTCCAATAGTTCGATCTATTTCGTAGTAGCCAACACGAACAATACCCCCTCCATTAGGAGGTTTCCAGCCTGTTTTCATGACCGCCATATTTCTTTGGCACTGCTTCACAGCGCTTGCGCATATTGCGACAGAGAAGGTGCTAATTGCTCGGGTTGTGAGTTATCCTTTTGTGATAAGTAAGATCTAATGGCTGCAAATCCAATATTCATAAAGTAATTTGCAACCTACCACAAAAATGAATTTATTGTTTGTTTACTCTGACATATACTTGTTGGGCTTAGCATGCTTAGCGTGCCACTTTTTTGTGTAGCATTAGCGTTTGGCTAGACTATGGGTACCTTATATATATTTCCTGAAATCGAATGTTGCATTAAGTCCACTCCCTTTTTGAATCTAAATATTTATATTCTCAATAAAGTATGTACTTTTTCTAACGGTAGAATTAAAAATAGAGGATGTAAGGTACTTTTTTTGTTGTTGTCGTATACCGGCATTCGGTAAATATAGGACCATCGGATGTGCCACAATACACCGATAGGCCTTTATATGTTTCTTACCCTTGAAAGAATTTTTTTTAAAAATTAAGTTCTGATTTAATACTTAATATTGAGACATACAAGGCGATGACAATCTCTAAATCTACCCCCCACACATTAAAAGATTAAAATTTGATTTTTCACTCAAGTTTTTAAGATACGAAAAGATCAAGAGGCCAATGGACCATATCGCTCACCTGAGTAACTTAGGTCATGCTGTTCTTTAACAGATTTCTCCCTTGTAATACCGATTGTGACCCACCCCAGGGGATCATGATTTGGACGATTTAAAATCTACACATCCCCAAGATGCTTCCACATAAGTTTTTAAAAGCTTAATTTTTATCAGCTTGAGTTTAATTCTGGCCCAGTGGTTCTTTTTTTACTTTTAATGACCTTACTCTATTTTTGCCTTTTCTTGATTATATCTCCTTGCAAGGGGACTTAGCCCTTCAGTTTAACAATTTAAACTCCCCTTCATTCAAGGATGCGCTTTGTACCCCAGTAAGACCGGCCACAATAGGTATTACAAAGCAGGGATTTTCCACTTACTTTTGGGAATGGGACCCAGGCCCTTGGAATTGGGAATTTTATGACATTTTATTACTTATTGGGAAATTTTATTGTATGATGTTTTTCAAGAAATAAATGCTTAAGATGAATAAAAATTGATCTTTTACTTAGTTATTCAGAACTATGAATCAGAGAATTGATCATTATAATAAAGTTTTACCCAAGATTCTTCAAAATTTTGTTCTTTTCATTCAAATTTCCAAACCTAAACATGTTTGTATTTTGTGTAAAATGTTCAGGTTACCTTCTTGAGTTCTTCTTCTTTCAAAAATTGAACATAGGCAGTTCATTTTTGGGAAAAAGGGAGGGGTTTTGCAATAGTCTATTGGGAATGAGGCCCATATTCGGCCCTACATGGGGTAGTGGAAAATCCCTGCAAAGTGTTAAATCTGGTAAAGAACAAAGTTACTAAGGTGAGCCATGTGGCCCATGGGCCTCTTGTTTTTCATTCATATGTTAAAAAATCATTTTTTATGGCTCCTTTAAGTAAATCCCAGACGGACGCTGCACAAAATGTGATCAGAAAAGCTCACTTGAGCCATCAGCTCAGGTGAGCTAAACAAGGGGCCACATCGCTCACCTGAACACATCGGCTAGGAAAAAGCAAATATCAGATCAGACCTGAAAGATTACTGAGGTGGATGGGGGGAGGGAGGGGGCTTGAATTTTAATATATTTGAGAATGCCTTCTTACAGTACCTGAGGATGCATATTCCACTAATTAAGTACTTTCAAATGACACCAAGGTCAATGACCTTGTGACCTTGACTGTGACCTATATGCTAAAAATAGCTTTTTCGACTTTTTGCCATAACTTTTGAACCATTAAAGATACAGACTTCATATTTGGTATGCATACTCCACTAATGAAGTTTTTTCAAATGACCTCGTAACCTTGACTGTGACCTATATGCTAAAAGTAGCTTTTTCGAACTTTGTTGCTGCTGGGCACATAGTGTTTCACAAACACATCTTTTCTATATACAGTGGACCTTCAGATATCCGGACACCAGCTATCCGGATGCTTCAGTATCCGGATGATTTTTCAACAGAACAAAATTTTTAAATGTTATTTTATCTTGTTTAACTGGTGATTCAGATATCCGGATGCTTCACATTTCCGGACAAATTGACTGGGAACCAAAGCGTTCGGATAAATGAGGGTCCACTGTATTCCTATGTAAAACTTTGATTGTCCATTGTGACCACATCCTATCCCTGGGTGTCATGATTTGAACAGATTTGAATCTACAGTACCTGACAATGATTCCATATGAGTTTCATATTTCTTGGCCCAGTGGTTCTTTCGATGATGACATTATTTTTTGCTATTTCGTAATTATCTCCCTTGTAACAGGATGTGGCCCTTCATTTGAATAAACTTGAATCCTTTACCTAAGGGTACTGTGTGGGAAGTATGGTTGAAATTGGCCCAGTGGTTCTTGAGAAGTTTACAAAGACAGTGACAGACAATTTGGATAAGAACGCATACCATGATTTTTATTCAAAAAGAGCCAAGAGATTCACTTAACATACCATCTTCACTATGTAAAGGATTTATGATAATGATCCTCCTCAAAAACCCTGGACAAATGTTTCTATTTAAAAGTTTGGCTTGTGATTACAAAACAGAATGGTCAATTATAAATCAACCAATGAGAAAACATTATTCAAATCTGTCATTTAATGGCTAAAAGCCATTACACATTTTTTGAGATAGTAAGGAGGATCTTTCGAACTTAAATTTCTAGCCTGACTTTTAAACAGTGACCTTTGTTGAGGATTTGTGTAGAGGAACCTTGACATTGTGAATATTCTAACATTGAAATTTCAACTTCATAACACTTCATCATTTTTATTATGTGGAAAAACAAACAATGCTGCATTCCAAGCAATTCATTTACAGTAAAGGACTGATAAGTCTTGAGATCTTAATTTTTATGTAGCTATTAAATTACAAGACAGGCTGCTTGCTAAAATTACATTCTCATGTACACATAACATCCAAATTATGTACTGAAAGTTTTCTTCTTGCTCATAATACAAAATGTACCAATTTGTGCAAATATTCTTGATAAAATAAAGTGACCAGAAAATATGGGAATTAAGTTTACAGTTTGAAAGCACTGGCAGGTTTTTATCTTCTAAAAATATTCACTACTGAAATATATATATGCATACAAATAATAACTACTATATTAAAACTTTGTCTTCTTAATACTTAATCTATTATGCTCTAATTTTATCAATCTATTATGCTCTACACCATTGTGGCTATGCAGATACATACATGTACTGTAATAAATGCTTATCAGCATTATGAATCAAAATTAAACCATAACACAAAAATGAAGACGAACTAGTCAAAAATTAAACACCATGCAGTAACGTACTTGGATGGAATTTTACCTATTATTATTCAAACACAACTTAGAACTGTATTATTTAGTATTTGGCTGAAAATAAACAGATGCAGGATGGCAAAACAACCCTTCACTAATGAAATTTTTACTGAAATACAAAATACTTTGCTATGAAAAAGAGGGCGGCCACTAATTTTTTAATGCTTGTGTCCTTTCAGTCCCTCATGGCCTACTCCATTTCTAGGACTGAAGATTGAAGTTTATAAATACTGCATTAAAGAACTTGATTCGGTAAAAACCGATATTTGCCCCCCAAACCAAACTTTGATGGAGAAATATTTAATTATGTTCTTAAACAGGAGGGTATATGCTGACTTCAACGCACTGAATATTTTCATAAGTAATGACGTCATATGTACGAAATGACGTCACAAACATGACGTAAATTTCAGTTTTTTATGAATTCTACAGAAAAATGTACATATTTCTTAGATATTTTGAGTAAAAGTCACCGAGCGCATGTGTGTTCAGGCTCAATATTTTGATATAATGTGTAGAATGATATCAATGAAATATATAAATATTGTTCTTGAACAAACTTGCGCTCTATAAATTTTAAAGCTAAAATTGTTGAAATTTTGTCCATTTTGTCCTCTTTCTGAAAAAGGATATAAAATCCTATTTTAAACTGTTGTGACGTCATAAAAACAAAAATTGTGAATAAACTACTTTGAAACAATAATATGTTCTGTTAATTTATATTTCTCATACAATTTATTGAATTCAGCACATTTCAGGAAGTTTTCAAAATTTGACATTTGTGGGGGGCAAATATATGCAATATACCTGCAATAAAACTTTCTCCTTTATTACTAATAGATACCACTTATACATCTATGTGCCTTTTTTCGGCTGTTTCAGAGAGAGCTGAAAATGTACAAGATAATGACTGATGGACACTACAACAGAGAGCAATAGCTCACTGATTGACTCGGGTGACAAAAACAAGTACATATCCTAATAGAGCCTTGAAGTTAAAAAACCAACATAATTTCATGACAATAAATTACAAAATTTTTATGCAGTGATAATATAAATATAAATTAAAAACATCTGCACACAAAGCATAAAAGTTAAAAACACACAAAAATAAATGCCTTTCTTATCAGATCAAACTCATGTGGAGTATTTCCTTAATACTTTTTAAATAATCTTATGTGCTGTTAAACTTTTCAAAAAAAAATTATCCTTTTATTCTTCAACTTTGGTCATTGTTTCTGTATTTATTCTTCTCTTTATAAGGAAGTTGTTATTCCCAATCGATTTCATCCGAGTTGTCTGGTGGCATTACAAGAAGCATCTTCTGGATGAAGATATTAAGGGAATCTGTCAATATACAAAACAAATATTAGACATGTATTAACAATACCATACTTGTAATATGAAAAGCATTCAATATACAGTCCAAAGTACAGCAGTACTGTAAAATCACAATTAAATCACTTATTTTGTGAGGTAAATGTTTGGTGGTTTAAGGGAAAAATTGGTTTATTTCGAAAATTTGGTTTCTTGGTCTATAGGAAAAAAAACATTTAATTAAAAATTTTAACTTTTTCATGTAAGGCATGAATTTAGGGGTTTCCCCAAACCATGAATATTAAAAATAAAAAAACAAAACAAAATGAAACACACTAAAAACTTACGGAGTTTGTCTGCAATTTCCTTTGGTTTGTGTTTCCAAGTTCCAATTATATACAAGAAAATCCCAGCTGCAACCAATCCTAGTGCCATGAAACTTTCCTTGGGCTTCTGGTAAAATGTCAACACTACAATTCCAAAACTTATCAGGAACAAAATAATGGGCAGAATGATGTGAACCTGCAACATAAAGGAAAAGATTGATTAGCTTGATTAGCATCATCTGTGTTAGAAAATGCACAAGTATTTTTTCTTACTGCTTGTAAGATCTCCTGTCAACAAACTGAGATCTAAGAAGTGATAATTTAAGTTTTTTTTTCATTTTCGGGTGAGCAGCTAAAATTTTTTGGGACCTGGGGTGCAAATGGGGTTATACATTGTATGTCTCAAAAACGGATTTATGATGAGAAACATGCACCATATCTAAATAAAGTTCTCCAGTACTTAAATCCTCTTGACAGAGAATTGGTGAATCATCAATCATCTGTGACCGTTCGGCAGGTGATGCTCACTTGTCTATGACACCTGATCCGACCTCTGATGTTCTGGAGGTCATGTTTGCTCAGCTCCTATTTGGAATGTTAAATGGACTTTTGAGCTGGAATAAAGTCCATTATCTCAATATATTTCAAGAGCAAACAAATAAATTAGGTCCCTTATATTATTTTCCTAGAAAAATTTTAGAACCAGAAGTCTCTGACAAGAAAGTAGCCCTACTGGCCAGGTAGCCATATTAAAAGTTTATTAGTGTTAAATCTAAAGCAAACTAGCATGGCGCGGCGCCATGCCCTTTTTTCTCGGCGCCATGCCCTTATTTCCTAACAATAATAAATATATATATGCCCAGTTGAGGCGATATTCCTTAGCTGCTATGTTTATTCAGTGCATGCTGATAATCCCTTTGTTTATATCACGACAGGAAATCACTTCACGCTTGAACGCACGCACACAGCCACCTGGCTAATTAACATGTTCCAGACTGTCAGGGTATTATGGAAAGCCAACGGGTTCAAAATTCCAACTCTGTAATTCTTATAATGCACACTTGTAAACCTGAATTTGTAATTTGTAAATCTTAATGTCATAATTTGTCAATTGTTCTTTCACAACTTGTTAATTGTAAATTATCCAACATAACTTGACAAGTGTAACAAGAGGCCCATGGGCCACATCGCTCACCTGAGAAGCTTTGACCATTCTGTTCTTTACCAGATTTCCCCCTTGTTATACATAATGCATCCCCACCCTACCCCACTGATCATAATTTAGACATTTTGAAATCTACACTACCACATGAACTTTCCATGGGCACATATGTTTCAGCTTTTTTGGCCCAGTGGTTCCTGAGAAGAAGATTTTCAAAGATTTTTCCTATATATTTCTATGTAAAACTTTGATTCCCTATAATGGCCCCACCCTTCCCCCGGGGGTCATGATTCCTATAATTTAGAATTTACACTACCCAAGAATGCTTCCACATAAGCTTCACTTTTTCTGGCCCAGTGGTTCTTGAGAAGAAGATTTTCAAAGATTTTTCCTATATATTTCTATATAAAACTTTGATTCCACCATTGTGGCCCCGCCCTTCCCCCGGGGGTCATTATTTGAACAATTTAGCATCTACATTATACCAGGATGCTTCCACATAAGTTTCAGCTTTTCTGGCCCAGTGGTTCTTGAGAAGAAGATTTTTCATATATATTTCTATATAAAACTTTGATACCCCATTGTGGCCCCGCCCTTCCCCCGGGGGTCATGATTTGAACAATTTAGAATCTACATTATACCAGGATGCTTCCACATAAGTTTCAGCTTTTCTGGCCCAGTGGTTCTTGAGAAGAAGATTTTCAAAGATTTTTGCCTATATCTTTCTTTGTAAAAGTTTGATACCCCATTGTGGCCCCGCCCTTCCCCCGGGGGTCATGATTTGAACAATTTAGAATCTACACTATACCAGGATGCTTCCACATAAGTTTCAGCTTTTCTGGCCCAGTGGTTCTTGAGAAGAAGATTTTCAAAGATTTTTCCTATATATTTCTATATAAAACTTTGATTCCCCATTGTGGCCCCGCCCTTCCCCCGGGGGTCATTATTTGATTAATTTAGAATCTACATTATACCAGGATGCTTCCACATAAGTTTCAGCTTTTCTGGCCCAGTGGTTCTTGAGAAGAAGATTTTCAAAGATTTTTCCTATATATTTCTATGTAAAACTTTGATTCCCCATTGTGGCCCCGCCCTTCCCCCGGGGGTCATGATGTGAACAATTTAGAATCAACACTATATCAGGATGCTTCCACATAAGTTTCAGCTTTTCTGGCCCAGTGGTTCGTGAGAAGAAGATTTTCAAAGATTTTTCCTATATATTTCTATATAAAACTTTGATTCCCCATTGTGGCCCCGCCCTTCCCCCGGGGGTCATGATTTGAACAATTTAAAATCTACACTACCCCAGGATGCTTCCACATAAGTTTCAGCTTTACTGGCCCAGTGCTTCTTGAGAAGAAGATTTTTTAATGACCCAACCCTAATTTTGTCTTTTCTTGATTATCTCCCCTTGTGAGGGGATATGTCCCTTCATTTTAACAATTTAGATTCCCCTTCACCCAAGGATGCTTTGTACCAAGTTTGGTCAAAATTGGCCCTGTGGTTCTTGAGAAGAAGTCGAAAATGTGAAAAGTTTACAGACGGACAGCTAGACAGACAGACGGACGGACGACGGACAAAGTGTGATCAGAAAAGCTCACTTGAGCCTTCGGCTCAGGTGAGCTAAAAATGTAAATGCAAGTTTATATGTCAATGAACACGTGTAATTCGTAGACTTGCAATTCGTCAACTTATGAAATGTACTTTCGTGATTTGTAAATTATGCAAGGTTGCATATTAAGACGAGAGAGGGCGCTATAAGGGTGGCAAGTCATTTCGCCCCAAAGGTAAAATAGATCCTTAACCAACTGAGTTTTGTGACATGCATGCATAGCATGCCTTCAAACGGTTACAAATAAGATTTGTTTTATACAAGAAATATCGGGGATCTAAACACACAGATCTCTGCTCGTATATGTCACGATTGTGACAATTATGCCGATTGTTTTATATAGAATTCGTGTTACCCTGTTTGTACATTGTACTTTTCCCCATGTGTAGATCGCATAATCGGTTAAATTTCTTATTATTGATTCACTGTACTTACGTTTCTAGAAGAACATAATCTTATGATTATAATTTTATTATCCTGGATGAATATCAATATTGTAATACGCTAGATTTGTTGTACATATCGTTTCTAAATCTCTAACTTTATTTATAGAAACCGCCATCATGATGATTATTTTGCGGAATATCAAGCCCGATTCTAATTGTAATTTCTCTGTACTAAGCATTTTTATAGAAATCTAATACTTGGGAGATATTGTCATATTGTATAAATGTTTTACATTATGATTGTCATATTTTTATGTGGATTATCTATTGTTATTATTAAACATTATTTGACAATGATTATTGCCGGTGACTGCCGGTGATACCGGAGATCTGCCGGTCGTCCCTAGGGAAGCGCGTGGGTCTCCGGGGGGACTGTCGAGAGCTATATAAGCAAAGGATAAGGACTGCCGGGGGACTCGGCATTTAGATTTTGAGGTTAGCGGTTGTTTATTTGATTCTTAGCATTTTTCATTAGGAATTTAGTAATTTTTGAATTAATTCATCAATTTTTCTTATAGTGAATACGGGTTAATCTCGTTTCACTATTAATTAGTAGTATTTATCGTAAGACGTTTATATTGGGTTAATCTCGATATTAAACGATTAAATAATTTTGTTACGGTTTGACTGAAAGTGAGTCTTGAGGTCTTTCCGTGTAAATAATTGTTTATCTTTGATAGATTTTAGGAATTCGATCAATTTAAAGTGATAATCTAGTTGCGTTTATAGGAATATTCAAGCAGGAATTAAGACTAGGATTTGATATAGAAATTATAGAGATAAATTTCTTGCTTTAAATAGCTTTTATAGATTGTGTAGATTCGTTCAGAAATACTTTGGTTATTCTAGGTATTTCTATAGTATTTATTACTCACTATTCGGGTCATTCTCGTTTAGTGCGCCCCCCCCTTTTATCGTATTAACGTAATACGAAGGTTGTGTTAGTGTAGTAATTCATTGTGAATTTGGGTGATTCCCGACTTCCATTGATTTTATTGTAATTGAATATTAATTAATATACATATTGTGACTTTTATTTATTGAATAAATTTGTAAACTTTAAATAAGGCTTATCATTTAACTTCCCTGTAGTTATTTACGAGTCCAAACACAGGTAATTCTTGTGTTACATATTATAGGAGATCTTTATTTGTGGGTTATTCTCGTTAATCATCAGAGTACTACATGGGTTATTCCCGTGTACGCATCTAAAGTACTTGTGCGTGAGATCCAAGCAGCTCAGGTCCGTTACATATATACAGAGGGCAGGCGCGGATCTCCAGAATTTTTTTTCCAAAGGGGGTAGAGGTGCTCCCCAGTCAAAATATTCCAAAGCAAAAATTTTCAACATTCGACAAGCAAAAGAAAAAAAAAAACCTATTTCGTGTTGTGGTTTGTGTGTGTGGGGGTGGTTCCAATTAGTCATTTTCAATGTGCTTCAGTATATACATTTAATAACTCTGTACATTTCGGGGGAGGGCTGGGGGTACGGATTCCCCCCTCTAAATCAGCGCACGGAGAGGTGCCAAGGGAATAGAAACCGAAAGTTTTTTCAGTTTTATAAAGAAGCGTTGAGACCGGGCACGTAGTATCGGAGGGGGGTTCCCCCTTCTCGCTTTTTCTCGAACCCGTTTTACTGTAAGAACTGCGAACGATAGTATTGTTCTCCCCCCTACCTCAAAGTCAATTTTCAAAAGTTAACATACAAACTTGTGTTTTTCACTATAGAAATCAACGGAAAACGGAAACTATTTTTAAAACATCTCCCCCCCCCCCCCCCCCCCCCCCCCCGTGTCACAAAAATTCCTTTTTACAGGTAATATGGAATGTTATTTCACAAATTCATACCAAAGCTTTTTGTGTGACACGGGGGGGAACATATGTTTATTGACAAAAAACGATAAAAATGCTTATTTTCCACCAATTTCAAAGCGATTTACAACTGAAACATTATATTTTATTGATATATTTATGTTTTATTTATTTGCCTAAAACATAAGAAAAGATATAAGGAACATTTCATCATATCCAAGACTATTTCAAAATATGGTGATGCTTGAAACTCCGATTTCAATGGAAACTAGTGCTAATTGTAACGGGAACCGTTACAGATGTTCCCCAAACGCTCCCCAACTCCCTTTTCGTGCCATATTCCTGTAAGTTTCATTAAAATAGGCATAATCTATGCATTTAAGATTTAAACAACATTGCATGAGCATTATGACTATTTCATCTTGTCTACACTATTTTACTCATTGCACGTGCACGCACGTGCATGATGACCATACCTTCTTGTAGGAGTCCATTATGCCTGTCTATGTTCTTAATCCCATCTTGTTTGGTTGAAAAACAAGGGAGTTATAGCCATTTAAAGTTTAAGCCAATCAGATTGCAGCGTGCATGCGCGTGTTTTCATGACAATTATTATATATCACTTTGTGCGACTTCTTAAAGTATGCCTATGTTTTAAATTTCAAAGCATTTTGTCAGAAAACTGAAAAGATATTGAGATTTTTGTTTCAGCCAATCAAAGCAAAGCGCACGTGCACGCACGTGCATGCATGTAAATGTTGACCATACCATCTTGTAGGAGTCCTTTATGTCTTTCTATGTTCTAAATCCCATCATGTTTGGTTGGAAACCAAGGGAGTAATAGTCATTTAAAATTTCAGCCAATCAGATTGCAGCGCACGTGCATGCACGTGATTTCATGAAAATTTTTATACATCATATTGTAGGGTATCCTTATGTATGACTATGTTATAAATCTCAAAGCATTTCATCGAAAAACAAAAAAGATACTGAGGTTTTTGTTTCAGCCAATCAGAGCAAAGCGCACGTGCATGCGCGTAAGTTCATGCAAATTTGACCATGTCATCATATCTATACATCTTATATATCCTTATATAATGAGTTTCAAAACATTTCATCAAAAAATGTAGAAGTTACATCCATATTAAATATATCAGTCAATTCACTCATTTCACGCGCACGCACGTGCATGCGTATGCGCGCAAAATGACCTTCGTTCCGCACACCTACACTACACACCTATTAACCCTAAAAAGGTTTTAGCTCAGTTGGGTGAACAGTTTCTGAGAACACTCGCGGACAAAAAAAGTACCGGAGAAGAAATAAGAAAAAAAATAACTAGTGCTAATTGTAACGGGGACCGTTACAGATGTTCCCCAAACGCTCCCCAACTCCCTTTTGGTGCCAAATTCCCTGTAAGCTTCATTAATTAACACAAGCTCTATGCATTTGAGACTTTAACAACGTTTACTCAGAAATGTACCATGATCATTCAAATTTTAGCATTGCATGTATGCGCATGTGAATGCATGTACGTAATGACCATATCATCTTGTCAAAACAATCTATATATCCTAATATACTAAATATTAAAGTATTTAATCCAAAAGTATTAATAAATTCGCTCATTCAAGTGTATTTTTGATTTTACCAATTTCACGTGCACGCACGTGCATACATGAGCATAATGACCATACCTTCTTGTAGAAGTTCATTAAATCGATCTATGTGCCAAATCCAATTCTGTTTGGTTGAAAAACAAAGGGAGCTATAACTGTTTAAAGTTTCAGCCAATCAGATTGCAGCGCACTTAACGCACATGTATGCATGTGCATGGTGACCATACCTTCTTGTAAAAGTCCATTATATATATCTTTGTTCCAAATCCCATCCTGTTTGGCTGAAAACCAAGGGAGTTATAACTGTTTAAAGTTTCAGACAATCAGATTGCAGCTCACGTACACTTACGTGTATGCATGTGCATGTTGACCATACCTTCTTGTAGAAGTCCATTTTATATATCTATGTTCCGAATCCCATCCTGTTTGGTTGAAAACCAAGGGAGTTATAGCTATTTAAAGTTTCAGCCAATCAGATTGCAGCCCACATGCATGCACGTTTTTTTACGATAATTTCTATATTTCCTGTTGTAGGATATCCTAATGCATGGCTGTGTTCAAAATTTCAAAGGATTTCGTCAAAAAACAAGAAAGATATTGAGACTTTAGTTTCAGCCAATCAGAGCAAAGCGCACGTGCATGCGCGTGAGATCTTGCTATTTTGACCATGTCATCTTGTCTATTTTACTAATATATCCTAACATTATGAGTTTCAAAGCATTTCATCAAAAATTTAAAAAGTTACGCCTATATAAGTTAAATCGGTCATTTCACGTGTTGCACGTGCGCGCTCTTGCAAGCACGTGCGCACAAAATGACCTTTGTTCGGCCAATCTACATAACATGTCTACTGACCCTAAAAACATTTTACCTTAGTCGGATGTGTAGTTTACAAGATCACTCAAGGACAAAATTTTCCCAGGAATAATAATAATAATAATAATAATAATAAGAAACAGAGTAAAAACAATATGTTCCCCAACTTCGTTTGGGGAACATAAATATCGTCTACCCCCTTTTTTTCAAGATCTGGAATTATAGATAATGTACTGTTTAGCGCTGGTATTAAGACAATTCATCAATTACCATTGAACTGTTCTTTGCATTAAACAAAGATTTTATGGCCAAATTGCTATTTATATTGAAAAAAATGGTTCCAAAATGTAGGCGGGGATCGAGAGTTAGAGTGCGTATTTCTTTAGCATCAAAACCCATCATAACTATGGATCGAATTGTGTTGTGAAAAAGTAAGAACCATATACCAACCCTTCCCTAGGGTTTTCAGATAAAAGTGTCAATTATTTTTCTGGGTGCTCCTTTCAAAAACGTTGCTACACGCATGAGGACTAGATTTTTTCACGTGTTCTGTTTTTGTGTGATCGTTGGGCACAAGGCACAGAAGCCTTTTTTCTGAATTTCATTTTGTTTCATGAGGATGCATAGAATAAACTATATGTTACCCAACAAAACTGAGATGCTCCATACCTTCTAGGATGTGTTCGGCTCTATATAAAATCATCTTATAACAGTGTATTATTTAAAATTGGAATTATTTTGATTATTGGAATTTGGGGTTTTCAAGAAAAAATCCCTTAGTTAGACTAACTTAGACAACTAAAAAGAATTTCTATTGCATTTTGTGT